AATCGTATATTCATCATTTCATAAACACTTTCATAAATACATACTTAATATAACATTTCATAGTCTTGTAATAATCATGCTAACATAGTGTGGACGACATATCATAGTATGACTACACATAATACAATGTATGTCATATTAATCACAAAATACGATATTTAGAGGAGTCATAGAGCATGTGTTGTTCATACTTCATTCCATTCATACAATCATGTCAATAGTAGAGTCAACGTTTGGTGCCGGTGTAAAAGTTGAAATGGTCAACCATTCTTATTGGTATAGCTGGGTCCTCCCAAGTCCCATCAATAACGTTGAAATTGATTGTTACAAAGAAGTCAAATATTGGGTCAATTTTTCTCATGGGCCTTACCTCTATATTGGGTTGATTGGAATTCAAGACTTGCAGGCTCTCGTCGCACACTGTGCGGTGCCCTTTAACTGAAATGGTAGCAAAGCCGAACGGAACCCAATGCAGAATGGGTAATCTTCCTCTGCTATCTTTTGTTATGACCCTGTTCTTATATTCTTCTTTCAGTATCTCTTTGGCTGTTGATTTCTTAACACCTTCTCAAACCCTCAGCGATGGCAACACCCTGGTCTCGGAAAATGGGTATTTCGAGATGGGTTTCTTCAGCCCTGGAAATCCCATGAATCTTTACTTGGGAATTTGGTACAAAATTATCCCGATTCCCACTGTGATTTGGGTCGCCAATCGAGAAGCCCCGATCAAAGATCTTCATGGTGTTCTAAGAATCAACACCACAGCCAGTGAAATCACTCTCACCCAGAATGATGATCTTGTTGTTTGGTCAGCAAAATCGTTAAAACCAGTGGGAAATCCCAGGCTACAGCTCCTGGATTCTGGGAATTTGGTCCTGAAAGATGGGAACTCCGAGGTGTTCTTATGGGAAAGCTTCGATTATCCAACGGATACATTGTTGCCAGGAATGAAGCTGGGATGGGATTATAAAAATGGCTTAAACAGAAGATTGTCCGCTTGGAAAAACTGGGATGACCCATCTCCTGGAACATTGACCATGGAAATGGAGAATCATAGCTACCCAGAACCCGCCATGTGGAATGGTACTCAAGAGTTCATGAGATCCGGACCTTGGAATGGGATTCGATACAGCGCCAAACCCTTTACCGCTTTCCCAATTTTCGTCTTCCATTACACGAAGAACAAAGATGAGGTTTATTACAGCTACCAGTTGATTAATCAATCAATGATTGGAAGAATGGTGTTGAATCAATCCAAGTTCAAGAGAGAGGCTCTGTTGTGGTCGGAAGCTGAGAAGAACTGGAAGGTATACGCCTCAATACCGAGGGAGTACTGCGACACGTACAATTTTTGTGGTGCTTTTGGGAGCTGCAACATTGAGAGCATGCCTTCTTGTAAGTGTTTAAAAGGGTTTAAGCCAAAGGTGGCAGAGAGATGGAATTTGATGGATTATACAGAAGGGTGTGTTAGAAATAGGCCTCTTAATTGCTTGGATGAAGTGGGGTTTGCTAAGTTTGTGGGGATGAAATTGCCTGACACTAAATTTTCTTGGGTTAATGAAAGCATGAGGTTAGATGAATGCAGGGAGATGTGCTTGAGGAACTGTTCTTGTATGGCGTTTGCTAATACGATATCAGAGGATCAGGTAGTGGTTGTGTCATTTGGGTTGGTGATCTTGTTGACATTCCTGTGATTCTTAAAGGTGGACAAGATTTGTATGTTAAAGTACTTGCTTCTGAGTTAGGTATGAGCCTTGTTCTGTTCTATAATTTCCTTCCATTCGTTCGTTTTTGTTGTGAAATCTCACATCGGTTGGAGAGGAGAACGAAACATTCTTTATAAAGGTGTGAAAACCTCTCCCTAGCATAGACGTTTTAAAAACCTTGAAAGGAAGTCCGAAAGGAACAATCTCTGCTAGTGGTGGGTTTGAGCTGTTACAAATGGTATCAAAGCCAGACACCGGACTATGTGCTAGTGATGAGGCTAAGCCCCAGGAGGTAGACACGAGGCGATTTGCTAGCAAGGACGCTGAGCCCCGAAGAATGGATTGTGAGATCCCACATCGATTAGGGAGGAAAACGAAACATTTTTTATAAGTGTGTGGAAACCTCCTCCTGTTGAGGGGAAGAGAGAAAATCCAAAAATAATAATATTTATTAGCGGTGGGTTTGGGTTGTTACATTCATTGTCTTTATTGTCAGAATCTTTAAATGCAGAGACAAAGAAGAAGAGCTCGTTGACCATAGTTGTTGTAGTTTTAGCTGCTGCTCTCATTGTTGCTGCCCTGCTTTTGGTCGGATTTTACGTTGTTCGAAGCAGGAAACACCTCAGAGGTAAGATTTGCAGCTGAAATGTCTTCGTTTTTTTATGATTATCACGCTTACTTAATGGCATTTTGGCAATTCCGTCTCTCCGATCTTGTCCTCTTTGGACTTTTCTTTTTGGGCTGCACATCTTAAGAGAGGTTTCTATACCCTATACCCTTACAAGGAATGTTTCGTTCTCCACTCCAACCGATGTGGAACCTCATAATCTACCTTCTTTGAGAGCCCAACGTACTCACTAGCTCATCGTCCGATGTCTGGCTCTGATACCATTTGTAACAGCCCAAGCCCTTTAGCCTATTACGTATCGTCGTCAGCTTCGCGATTTTAAAATACGTCTACTAGAAAGAGGTTCTCACACTTTTATGAGGAATGCTTCATTCCCCTCTCCAACTAATGTTGGAGCAGGGCTAGACCCTCTCCATAGTAGACGTGTTAGTGTGAGATCCCACATTGATTGGAAAGGGAAACAAAACATTCCTCGTAAGAATGTGGAAACCTCTCCCTAGTAGATGCGTTTTTTAAACCGCGAGACTAACAGCGATACGTATCTGCTAATATTGGGCTTGAACTGTTACCTATCATAATTTGATGAAATGGCCCAAACAAATCTAGACTAAGCTATGAGAAGATGCGCAAATGTAGCTAGGAAACATCCCCCAAAAAATATCGTCTGTGGATGTGTTTTCTCATCGAGGTTTAGACTCCACACTCTAGTTTGATGATCTTAGCTCCCATTTTAACTATGTTTAGCTCCACCCAAGACACGACCCGTTTGGAACGACTTTTCAAGTGCTTTTTCAACACTCAAAAAGTCATTCCAAACAGGTCGAAATTACCGTTTCTGATATGATTTTCCAACTTGGCAACAGGTAAGAAGCTTGAAGTGCAAGAGGAAAGCATGGAGCTTCCATTATACGACTTATCGACAATATCACATTCCACAGACAATTTCTCAAACTCCAACAAGCTTGGAGAAGGCGGTTTTGGTGCAGTCTTCTGGGTACCAAACAAAAAACATATTGAAAACGATGATCATCATAATACAATGCAATTGACCATTTGCCCATAAACTTGTAGGGTAGGCTTCCAAACGGACAAGAAATTGCAGTAAAAAGGCTGTCCAGCCATTCAAGACAGGGCATGGATGAGTTCATGAATGAAGTAAAACTTATAGCCAAACTTCAGCACAGAAACCTTGTAAAGCTTCTGGGTTGCTGCATTCAAGGGGAAGAAAAGATGTTGGTTTATGAATACATGCCTAATAACAGCTTGGACTCCTTCATATTTGGTTTGAATCCGTAAAAACTCGGTATCTTTTTAGCCATATATGTTCGTTTTGAACTAACTTTGGCTCGTTGTGAAACCGTTTAGATTTGGCGGGAAGGAAGCTTTTAGATTGGTCGAAGCGATTCAATATCATATGTGGAATAGCGAGAGGGATTCTTTATCTTCATCAAGATTCTAGATTGAGGATTATACATAGAGATCTCAAACCGAGTAATATCTTGCTTGATGTTGATATGATCCCGAAAATCTCAGATTTTGGAATGGCTAGGACTTTTGGTGGCGATCAGATCGAAGGGAACACTAAGAGAGTAGTTGGAACATAGTAAGTATCTCTAGTTTTGTATTATCCTCCTCGAGAGTTTCGTTATTTCGTTAGTTTGATGCTTCACCTTTTCGGGTGTGTTTTATAGCGGGTATATGGCACCGGAATACGCTATCAACGGACAATTTTCTATCAAGTCTGATGTATTCAGTTTTGGGATTTTACTATTGGAGATTATAAGTGGAGAGAAAAATAAGGGGTTTCGTCGTCCAAATCACGCCCTCAATCTTATTGGTCATGTAAGTTACGTACTTTGATTCATTCGTTGTAAGATATAATCCTTAATTAAATGGTGTATTTTTCATGTTTAGGTATGGAGATTATGGAAGGAAGGAAGACCATTAGAGTTTATTGATACATCCATTACAGACTCGTACGCTCCATCTGAAGTATTGCGGTGCATCCATGTTAGTCTTTTGTGCTTGCAAAAACATCCCGAGGATAGACCAACTATGTCAAATGTGGTTCTAATGCTAAATAGTGATGGTGCGTTGGTGCAACCAAAACAACCTGGATTATACGTCGAAGGAGACTCACTTGAAGTTCATTCTTTTTCAAACAAAAATGAATTTCTTACTACCAATGAGTTAACTATTACCCACTTGGAGGTGAGATAAGTGTGTAAAAATTTGTAGATATTATAGGTCAGATATGTTAACCCTTAGAATCATGTTCAACATGTGTTAGAACCCTTTTTAAAATGGTTTTAAGAGCCTAAGCAATTGAACACGTAAGTCTATGACTAATTTTAACTTACCATCGCTGTCAGCTTCACAGTTTTAAACGTGTCTGTTAGAGAGAGGTTTCTATACTCTTAAAAAGAATGTTTCGGTCTCCTCTTCAACCGATATGGGACTTCACAATTCAATTGTGAGATCATAACCAAACACGGGACGAGGGGGTGGATTGTGCGATCCCACATTAGTTGGAGGGAGTAACAAAACATTCCTTATAAAGGTGTGGAAACCTCTCACTAATAGACGCATTTTAAAACCATGAGGCTGACAGTGATACGTAACCGGTGAAAGCGGTAACCGTGGACTGTTATACCAGATATGTCAGCTAATGGGCCGAGTTTCAGATTTCGATTTCCAAATAAATGGGCCGAGACCACTCGTCGGCCCAAAAAGTTCTTTGAAAAATCTCTCCTAAAACCTCTTTTCCCGTAAACATCTTCGTTTCGTAGAAAGTTCGCTATCCTCTTGGTTTCTCTGTAATGCCAATGGCTACCAGTCTCTCCGTTTCTCCTCAGTCCCTAATTCCACTTCAGAAGCCATTGCTCTTACCACGAGTTCAACAAGGTCACTTCCTTCAACTCAAGTCAGTGAGTCGGATTTCGAGTGCTCGCATTCATTCCGGCTCTCAATCGGGGGTTTTGGTGCGTGCCGCTTTGGATAGCGATTACTCGTCGGAGAGGAGTAGTAGCAATGAGAAGAGGGAGGAGATTATGTTGCCTGGTTGTGATTATAACCATTGGCTTATTGTCATGGAGTTCCCCAAAGATCCTGCTCCGACGAGGGAACAGATGATTGATACCTATCTCAACACTCTTGATACTGTATTGGGAAGGTTCTCTCTCTCTTTTTCGCTCTCTCTATATCTTTATGTTCGTTTTCATTTCAAATGTTTGTGTGAGAGTTTCATTTGAGTAGAGTTAAAGAATCGCTGCGCGAACATGCATAGGTTTCGGAGACTGAAAATGAAATTAAAGAAACGCATGAAGTTGTTGGAAATTGACATGTTATGTCGATATGGAAGCGTCTTGAGTTATGTAAATATTCATTAGATAACAGATAGGAGGTTTGGTGAGGTTGGAATTTCGTTGTTGAAGTGAAACAAGAACGATCATTATCCATTTGCCGAGAGATGGTTGTGCTTGTATCTGTTTCTCGATTCCCTCTTCGTTGCCTATTTTACTACTTTTAGGGCACCTCTAATAGGGATTTGGTGCCAATGTGATTGCTTCCTCCTGCTCGCTCTGCTAGTCTTTTTCTTTCCCTCTTTTAGAGCACCATTTATAATAAGAGAAACCAGTGGACAAGGAGGTCAGCACAATAAAATGATAGTTACACACGATATATGATAGAGAGATTGGAAAATGTAATTCAAACCTTCAACTTATACCAAGATATCACGAAATCAAATGGTCAAGGATCTGTTAGACTGTGAGATCCCATATCGGTTGGGGAGTAGAACGAAACATTCTTTATAAGGGTATGGAAGCCTCTCCCTTGCAGACGCGTTTTAAAAACCATGAGGAGAAGCCTGAAAGGGAAAGCCCAAAGAGGACAATATCTACTAGCGGTGAGCTTGTGTTGTTACAGTTGGTATCAGAGTCAGACACTGGGCAGTATGCTAGTGAGGACACTGAGCCCCGAAGGGGGGTGGACACAAGACGGTGTGCTAGCAAGGATGTTGGGTCCCAAAGGGAGGTGAATTAGGGAGTCCCACATCAATTGGAGAAGGAAACGAGTGTCAATGAGAACGTTGGACCCCAAAGGGGGTGGATTGTGAGATCCCACATCGGTTGGGGAGGAGAACGAACATTCTTTGTAAGAGTGTGGAAATCTCTCACTAGCCGGTGTTTTAAAAACATTGAAGGAAAACCCCAAAAAAGACAATATCATTCCGGACTAAACATTTAATTTAACATTTATTTCATTAGAATGTGGTTAATCCAAAAACTTGAGAACTGAACCTTCTGGGATTTTGATGAATTGTTGGTCAAGGTTAGTTTCATCTCTCATGTGTGGATTTTCTTGGAAACAGCATGGAAGAAGCTAAGAAAAACATGTATGCCTTTAGCACCACCACCTACACTGGATTCCAATGCACAGTGTCCGAAGAAACATCCGAGAAATTCAAGGGTAAGGATTTGTTTTTAATTTTTTTTGGAAGTCCTGTTCTGACAATCATGCTGAGAGTTGCCATATAACCTTTTCATTGCAGGATTACCCGGAGTTCTTTGGGTGTTGCCAGATTCTTATTTAGATGTCAAGAACAAAGATTATGGAGGTTGGGTTTATATCTTCTCTGTATCTTTCTATCCCCTGCTAGTTTGCAACCATAACAGTAGGATTAGGAGCTTCTTTTCAGTAGTTTTAATCGATTATCATAGTTTTTTTTTTTTGGTTAACTTTTAGGTGACAAGTATATAAATGGGGAGATAATTCCATCGAAGTATCCTGTTTATGAACCAAAGAAACGAAGAGAAACAAAATACGAAAGTAGGAGATACGAAAGAAAAAGGGATGGCCCTCCTCCCGAACAACGAAAGCCGAGACCCCAAGCAACCAGAACGGAATCAAATTCGGATTAAGGTAGTACACGGATTTTCCTTCCATTATTTGCAGTGATTGCATTGGAATATAGAATGTTTTTGTTCATTTCTTTTGCAATCCATTAGTATAATATGACTTGAGATTGAGCTCTGAACTGAACTACCAAGAAAGATAGATGCAAAATGAAGAGGTTGTTCATAGAATTTCATCTTTGGACTTCTGTGTTGTAGTTCAACCTGAAAAGGATTTTTGTTCTGTGATATGATTTTATAGCTTAGGGTATCATTGGAGAATATAATATATAGTTTAGAACCGTTATTTTTATTAGTATTCAAACCTTATTGAACGGCATATTGTTAAGAATCACAGACTTCCACAATAATATAGTATTGTTCACTTTGATAGGCCTTCATGGTTTTGTTTTTGGTTTTTGAGGCCTCGTACCAATAGAGATATATTTCTTACATTGATATATTTCTTACTTATAAATCAATGTATGATCATTCTTTTAATTAGCTGATGCAGAGACTTCTAAGCAACAATCTTCAACATACATTACACACATTAGGGAGGAATTTTGAGTGGTTTTGGTTGATTGATTAGCTCTCAAAACCCTGTCTTCATTGTTATATAGATATTGGTGTTACTATTTATATTTAATTTAGGTATTGTTATGTTTTATGGATATTTGTAAAATCTATCAAAGATAAATCAAGATATGGATAGATATAGTAAATATCTTTTTAAAAATAAAATTGCTGCCACAATCTATGCACAATAATGGCCTTTGAAGAGAGCTCTGACATTTGACTGATTGTCTGGACTTCTCTTCGTGTTCACCTCACAATCAAAAATCTTTCTATTTTTTTTTTTTTATATGTCGATATGTATATTTCTAAAAATAAGTTTGGATTGTTATCCACTTTAATCTTAACATTTGTAACTTTGTTTACCAAAACTAGAATTGGAGAGTCACACTTTTTATAAGGGTATTGGAGGAGAACGAGAATGAAACATCCTTTTACGAAACACTCTTTTACGAAACACTCTTTATAAGGGTGGTATGGAAACATTTCTTTGAAGCTCTGAAGGGAAGTCCGAAAGGGAAAACCTACAAAAGATAATATCTGCTAGCGGTGGTTTGGACTGTTACATGTTAATGTCTTTACTTGTTTCTTTTAATATCTTATCACGTGTGTTAATGTCCTTATAAACATATTCTCTAACTTATCGTATATCATTTAATACCAAAAGTACAAGTCATCACAAAATTGTAAGACATTAGCATACGATATGAAGAGACGAAAACAAAAACAAGAAGGGAAATTAGAGAGAAATTTTTAAGCAAATATTGTGAGAGAATTTTCTATGGAATCCCCAACCACCTTTTAATTACTTTCTTAATACCCTAATTATTGTGCTCTCATTTGGACCGTCGGCCGGTCCAATTCACTCGCTAAAAATCACCCGCCCGGTCTCCAAGTCGCAGGTAACCCTCCATACTGTTTGGTCTTCGTGCGTCAAATCAGTTCGCTACGGTCACCATCACCCGTCCACATCAGCTAACCGTATATCATTACTCCCCTGGAATTATTTTTTTATTTTATTTTTTTTCCTAGTAACACAGTACGCGCGTGACTTCATAGTGGCATTGCGTCGTAATTATTGTCCTTTTCAATGTCTAGTTTTGGAAATTCGGTTTCCGAAAAGTATCGTGGGATTGGGGTTGGCCGATACGAAGAGAGATTTATATTTATTTAAAAAAAGCTTGTTGTGAGTTATTTTACCGTTTTACCCCTCCCTTGAGGTTTTTTAATTTTAATTTTAATTTTAATTTTATTTCTTATTTTAACTACACGACAACGTTTTGCCGTTCGCGTCCTCTGTCTTTTCCTCCGCCGGTTGTGGTGTTTATTTTTTCTCCGTTTCCCCACCTGAAAGCTTCGGATTGGGTTCGGATTTTCATGGACGAAAATGCCCCTTTTGTGTTATTAAATTTGTTTGACCTTGTGATTTTGTTTTTGACGAATTTAAATGGTGAAAATTCTAAATATTATATATATATATATAATATATGTTTTTTTAAAAAAAAAAACTTTCAAATTTTGAATTTAAAATTTTAAAATGTAGAATAGATAAAATTTGGTAAATATAGTAAAATCATTTCATTTTTCTTAGATTAAAATAAGTATAATAATATAAATTATATGACATTTTTCCTCGTTTAATTCTTTTTTATTGGTCCATATCTAACAATCTGTTTGACATCTCGTCACAGCAATTGATACCTACATCTAATTGAAGTTCCATTTTAGTGTCTCTAATAAGGCGGTACACAGGTTGAGTTAGGTTGGATTAGAGAATTTTTTGGACCAACCCAAGTTGTGATCTTGACACACTCGCGATCATCTTTGAGGTAAATCCAAGTCTCATATTCATTTTTCGCCCGGCTTTGTGGCTTCATCGGGTCTTAGGCGAGATTTGTCTTCGCCTACCGAACATCACTTGTGCGGAATTCAAGCTTGTTTAGCCACACATGCGCCCTACACGTGCATGTTCAATTATATGCAACACAACCGACTTGCCTCTACATTACTCCAAGTCACTCGACTTACATTGCCTCTACTCAGGGCCAAGGTCTCTCAACGCAACGTCGTATTCAACATCATCTTTGTTCCCAAAATTTTGTGTTGGTCTAGTTGGTGATCCAAGCAATCCGAATAGAGTTCACAACTGAACCCTCTATTCTCAAACATCAAACATTCACAAAGTCGTAAAAGTATCTATATCTCTAATCTTAAATCTTCTACTTATATGGGTTTTTGCTCGTTCTATTTATATTCAATTATACTAAATTGACCGTTCTTGAAAATTTGAAATGGTCCAATAAAAATGAAAACGCTCAAGCTCACACTTAGAGTTGAAAATTGAGGTACACATCCCTAAAAAAAATGATGTTTAGCTCATATCCCATAATCAGCAATGATATCAAGAACTCAATTTTGTTACCACCAAATCTCAAAACCTTGAAATTTACACAATGGTATCATAATGCTAATCAAAATGTCTCTCATGTGAAATGTCCAAAATACCCCCACAAGAACAAAATTCCAAAAACTAAGCTCCACTTCCCACAAGCCCCCAAAAACAGAGGATACTAAAAGAAAGCAAACCACAAACATGTGAAGGATCCCTTACCAAATATACCCCCTACAAGGACAAAACCGTAATTTCACAACACCCTTCAAGCTCATCTCATCTCATTCTTCTTCCCCCAAACAGTGTCCCCCACCTTTCTCTATCACAAAACCCCATCAGCGTCCATCTCTCTCTGTCTCTCTCTGAAATTCTCCAGCCATGGCTCTGTTTCGCAGCCAGAATCTTAGCCTTTGGATCTCAATGATCTTGTTTTTGGGTTTTTGTTCTTGTTTTTGCTGTAATTCTAAGGACGATTCTTCAATTCATGAGCTTCTTCGATCCATGGGGCTGCCGGCGGGGCTAGTGCCGAAGCAAGTGAAGTCTTACACAGTGGCTGAAAATGGTCGGTTGGAAGTGTTCTTGGATGGTCCGTGTATGGCTAAGTATGAAAACAGAGTGATTTTTGAGAGTGTTTTTAGTGCAAATCTTAGCTATGGGAGCTTGATTGGAGTGGAGGGAATGTCTCAAGAAGAGCTTTTTCTATGGCTTCCTGTTAAAGATATCATTGTTAATTATCCTACTTCTGGTGTGGTACTCATCGACATTGGTGTCGCTCATAAACAGCTATCTTTGTCTCTCTTTGAAGATCCTCCTGATTGTAGTATCCCTCAAGGTGAATTCTCTTAGATCTCTTCGATTTTTATGGGTTTTGTTGGTTTTGATCAATGGGTTCTTCCTGTTTTTCATCACTTCTTCATCAATGGCTTCTCTTGCCTCTGTTTCCTCTGTTTTTTGTCTCTAAATTGATGGAGTTTTCCAAATCTGTCTTTAATGGCTTCTTTTGACCATATTTTCTCCTCTCTCTTTCAATCTAAATTGATGGGTTCTTCTTGTTCTTCATCTTTCATTTCATCAATGGCTTCTCTTGGCTCTGTTTCCTCTGTTTTTCTTCTCATTAATGGCTTCTTTCTATCTCCTCTGTTTCTTCTCTTCACAACTAACAGTTTCAGCTCATTAATGGGTTCCTTTTGTTCCATTTTTGGCGAGCTCCATTAATTTTTACATTCCCAAAACGACTATGAGTTGAAAGTTAGAGACAAGAAAACATGGGAAACTTGCAGTTGAAAGCTCAAAGTTCATTATTTTTGCTTCTGTTTTGTAAAACATTATAGTAACTGAGTTTCTTTGTCTGGTTTTGCAGCTGCGTTCGGGAATCGTCTCAGGAACCAAAGAGCCTTTGAATCTCTTAGATAAGAGAGCCAATAATAATAATAATAATAATAAACAATAAAAAAGTTGTCAAATTCAAGTTTCCACCTTTTGTATTTATATCATTTTATTGTGTAATAATTTGTATTTTATTTTATATTTAAAAAAAAAAAAAAAAAAAAACCCAATCGATCACACTTTAGTATATACTCAGAGCCCTTGTATCTAGTTCTCGATAACTCGATCAATTTAGACTATTTAGCTCAAATTATGAAGGTTCAATTTTTTTTAGTTGGGTCGACCCATCTGAAAATAGGGTTATAACTCAATGCAACTCTACTCTAATTTTAAAAAGAAAGAACAACTGAACCACTAGACCATTAGGTTCGGTTGTGACAATTAAAGTTGCTGAGGTCACTAATTCAACCCACCCAAAAATTTTGAAATTTTAATTTAAATTATTATTATTATTATTATTTTGGGTTAAAAATTATTGGGATTTTTGTGTAAATATATTTTTGAACAAGTGAGAATTCTTTTTGTATTTCTTAAATTATAATTAAAATAAAAGAAAAAAAAATTAGATAAGGAACCAAAGCAAAGGATATTGTAATTTAATTATTTATTATTAATTATTAATTTAATTTATTTGGTATTTTTTGCGCAATTCTCAATAATTTATAAAATGTGGGGTCCGGAGGTTTTGTTATACGCGTGAGTGTGGACCCACTACCTATGCCCCTATGGGCGGGACCCACTATTAGCATATATAATTTCCAACGTGGGCTCCAGATCATTACTGTTAACCACGTGTCATATTTTTATTAGTGGAAAATTAATTAACAAGCTTAAGATATTTTCACGTTGTTGACGTGTACTGGGCTTTCGGGGGTCCCTACAGATAAATATGCCGAGATTTTCTTCTAGCATAGTCGATATTTATCGTTTAATGGAATTTAAGATTTATGCCTTTATAAATAAAATATATTAATTTAGTTTTTTATTTTAATTATCTATTTAAAGCGTAATTAAAAGCGGATGTGAAATCACTTTTACCGCTAAAATTTTGGTGTTTTTGTCCAAATTCCAATAAGGTAATATACTTAATATTCACGTGACAGCAACCGTAAAATTTGTTTAGTGTAGAAGAACGTGACATATAAAACAAAAAACCCTACACGAGAGTGTGGTGTTTGTCACACCATCTTTAATGGTGAAATTAGCGGCGAGAATTAAGATACAGTCAACCATTTTATTTGTGTTAAGATATATTATAATATTTTATTCATATTTAAATATCATTATCTCAATATATACATACATATAAATATATATATATATATATATATATATATATACTTATTTTAATATTTCATGTATAAAATAAATAAATAATTTAACTATTAATTAAAAAATTTCGAATATATTTTTCACAAACAAGAGTTCATAACTCATTCAGGATTATTATCTAGTCGTATATTATTATCTTATGAAATATTAATCTCTTCGTTTAATAAATTTATAAAAAAGAAATTAAATGTTCCCAAGTTCTAGTCTCCTCCAAATTCATTGTATAGGATACCCCAACTCACATGTCTCTCTATTTAAAACTAAACATTTGTAACAACTCTTAATTAGGTGGTATCGACAGAATTATCATAATAAGATACCCAATATTTATATATATTATAACTTTTTAAGTTATTACTTGAACATGATCCTCTCGTATGTTTACCATATATTGTTAAAAATTACATTAATAACCTTAAATTTTTCATATGTGAAATTGCAACTTAATAATCAAAATTATTGTTAAAAGTAAATCATTGATTGAGAGGTTTTAGAGTACAAATTCCAACCTAGAGGACAAGGACCATCTAGGTCATAGATTTGGATGGTAACAAAAGTCGTGCATCACTGTGCTATGATATAAATCGTCGACAAGAGAATAGGAAAAGACATAACTAGATTACCTAAATTGTAGTAGACTCGAGCATAAAGACAAGCTCGGGAGAGAAAGATCATGTAACTCCCATGGTTGGGGTAAGCTCGATGGAGCTAGATAGCACAACAAATCGTTGAGTAGATCACGAGACATCAATAATTGAAATACGAGCTCAAACGAGCTAGATGATGAGTCACTTGACATCAATTATCGAGATAATCTCGGATAAGTTATAGAATGTGAATCCAACCAGTGGGATAGACCATATGCTAAGGATAATATTCGAGTTTACGTGGTAAGTGAACTCAACAGTTGCCACGGTGGTGCCTAGTGTCCAAATATTCGGATTTTTATTTTATTACTTTTTATCAGAAACAAATATTATCTTCGGTTTAAATTGTATGCAACCGATTACACAGTAACTTCTTCCAAAACCACTTGAACTAAATCTACTCAAGTAATTGATTTCCGCTCTTAAGATTCCAGATTACATCCGACGGTCGTAAGATAATTTCAGCAGCTTTGTAAAGCGTGGCAGAATTTGATTAGTTGGATATTATGTATCATAATGCATCTTATTTTTCCTCCATATACCGACCTAAAAAAGGAAAATTAAAATTCCAAAGGGATGATAAACTGGCGAAGGCTCTTCAATCCTTTCTCGTAGATTCAGCCAATCCGATTTCACTGCCATGGGAGGAGGAGAATTCGTTAGGGCAGCGGCGAAGATGGCCAGTGCCGGTAACGCCGGTTTCCGAGGTTCATCGACGGTGCCTCAGTTCGGGAAATTGCTTCGCGGCTCATCGAGGCCGGTGTCTGTTTCCGTCGGATCGTCTTCTCCGGTTTCGTCGGCGAAGGCCACCGCTGGCGCTGAAGTGGAGGTTCTGCAGAAACCGATGTGGGAGATTGATGACTGGGAATTCGCCAATTTCGAGGACGATTTGGCCATGGAGGCCGCTGGACCTAAACCGAGAATTGTGTTCGGGACCGTTCCGAGTTTCCAAGAGGCAAAGGAAGCTACGACGGAGGTTAAGGAGGCTTTGGATAAGTATGTCATGAATTTCTTGAATTCGAGTTTTGATTGAACTAATGAATGGTTTTATTCTGTGTTCTGTTCTTTATACTGAACTTGGAATCGAATTGACTGGTTTCCATTTCGTTAGTGTGTGAATAATATGTGTAATTGTGTGTCAAACAAAAGAAGAACAAAATTGTAGGAAAATTCATTCAGAATCCTTCATTTATCGAAGGAAGAAGTGTCCACTGTTTGTCGGAATATGTTTTTGGTCTCTTCATTGTCATACAATGATGTTATGTTTACCTGAAAATCCAATTTGAGAGCTTTGAAGTGCCATTTCTCGAATTTAGGTTGTGATTTTCGCTTCAATATCATGTACTTTAAGAGCAGTAGAACCATTGTCGCTGTAATTTACGAACCTCCTTGCCTCCATTGCTGCTCCCCAATAAAATTATGTTCAGGGGTGAGCTTCTGCTTGATTTTTTTATTGATTTTTTTCAGGGTATACTTGTCTTCTTCGCCAGAATCTTGTGGATTGAATCAGATTGTATCTTCAAACAGTAAACTAGTGCTCGAGTCATGTTCATCTATTCAGACAAGTCCACAGACTTCCGTGCCTCAGCACGCAATTCAGGCATTTAGGTTGCTCAAGGAAAGTGCTGAAGCTCAGGTAATTAAAAGGCTTAACCCTTCCTCCCAAAAGATACTTTAATTATGAAGAGAAGTTTGTGAATTATTTAGCCAACGAATTCATTTAGAGGTCTGAACTTTAGAGTTTAAAACGTCACTTGTTTATGGCTTTCTCCTATTCAGACTGTTGTTGCCTCAATTGCCTCTGACCCAAATGTCTGGAATGCAATGTTGGGCAATGAAGCGCTTAAGAGCTTCTTGCAATCATATCAGACCAGTAAGACTTTGTTCAAAGTTCAAATTTTAGTCTCTGATAGTTCTGTAAGCATGCTTCTCTTGTCACTAATGGTGTGATTATACTTGTAGACAAAGCACTTGAGTATCAAGAATTATCTGAGAAGCTTGAAGAGTCTCCAGAAGTAAGCTTTGTCGAGGAGTCGAAAAACGAATCGAGTAATGTCTTTCACGAGACACTAGAATATATTAAAACATCAATCGACGACATGCTGGCTACAGCATCCATTTTTCTTCAGAAAGTATTCGGATCCTCACCATCTGAAGTTTCTGGAAATGACAAAGCAACCTCTGGATACTCCACTGCAGAGATTGCCATGGGATCATCAATCATGGGACTGGTTGTTGTTGTCATCGCTGTACTGGTTGCGAAACGAAATTAGATGTCAAACTATGGTGTTGTTTTGATTAATCTGTCGACATTTCGTCGTTGAATCTCTTAAAACTGTTCTCTACGGATCCTAGACATATTACTGGGTTTCTTCGAACCATACAGGACGAAAGGAATAGTTGTAATTATTAGCTATTTCGCCTTTGTTTTTGGTTGTTGATTGTTACAGAACATATGGGGAATTCTATTATATATAACGTTTATATAGCAAATTCTCAGCTTGAACAAAAACTAAGGGTGAAAGTTATTCTACTGTAATAATTGGTCTTTTCTTTTGCTTTCTGGGAAGCTGCAAGGCTGTTCAATCTTACATTTTATTGTTTGTTATAAAGATACAAAATTGATCAGCAGAAGTATTCTACAGTAAGAAAGAAAAGGTTATAAAACGATGGTTTGGGGGATGATTCACTTGCTTCCACTTAGCCAAGACCCTTGCCATTCTCCAGGGGAGCTTAGGAAAGGGCTCTTTGGTGAACTACTAGTCAGTTATGTACATTATGTCCCCTTTTGCTATTTGCATTTGCCCTCTGTCTCGTCTATTCGGTGCATGTGCTCGGTCGGGTTGGCCTCGCTGATAAAAGAACTTGCTGTCAGTACTTGAGGAAACCCGACGACATCAAGGTTATTCTACTGGTAAATGATATAATGGGTGTTTAAGTGATACCTTTTTCAAGACAAATGAAAGGTAGAGATATGCCACTTCCCACTCGTCTGGAGATAACGTGCCTGCGTTCGACAAGGCAAGAATGAACATTTCTACACATTGAAAAGCTCCTCTAGAGCTAATAAGTTGCAGCAAAGACTTACTTTGATCTTGGTTGCCATCACCCAAGGCACCAAGCCGTCGCATTAGATCCACGAATTCGGGTTTTTTCAAGTACTCGTGCACGAATTCATGTGAGTTCTTGACAAAAACCAACTCTAAGCCATACTGCACATTATTTAACCAGAAACAAACTTTAAGTTAGAGAAACAAAAACTGCAGTAGGAGGGAGTGAAAAGCGCACACAACAAAAAACGAAACCAAAAAGGAACTCTAAAAATACAAGAACCCAAATTAAACAATTAAGAACAAAGCACCCAATGGAGAAACACACAATAATTCAAGAAGCAAAACCATGAAACCGAAGAGCCACCAACGTCTTCCTGTCGATTCATCTTCTAAAACACTACCAATCCTTGTCAAATCCGAATTGTTACAAAACAACCTAGGATCTATGCACCCTGCACTCCGAACAGTACGGGAGCCTTTAAGCTTGTATTGCTTACACTCCTAGAACTTCATGGCACCTCCACCATAGTGTGAGTTAGGAGCAGCTCTGAAAAGCGAGGCCTACTCCAAATTTGCTTTCAACAACCCCACGAAAAAGTCAACTATGGAAGTCCAATAATCTGATCATAGGTGAAATCCAATCCCTTGGCCTCCCGGAAGCGCACAAAGGGGTAACTAACTGATTATTTGTTCTTCAGTCTGTGTTTGGATTTGGATCTAGACATCACCGATTAACGAAGCTCAACTACATTTTGAGGAAGTAGCTACAAAGCCTAAAGATCAAATTAGATTCACTTTCTTTCCTTTACACGTACAGCAACATTTCTCGGAGTGGAATCTTTAAACTCAACCTCAGCAGGAAGAAACCAAAAAGATTATGTGGTAGCAAAGTTTCAAACCAACAAATTTAAGAGTTGGAGAAAGGGAATCTTTTGAATTCCCCCAAGTAATTCCCAAGAGCTTACAAAATCTTAGTAGAGGTAAGCTCTGGAGAGTGTAATCCAACCTCCATAACCTTTGACCACCTAACTCTTGCTATGTTTCATAAAAGACTTTCAATGTCCAAGTGGGTATGTCCAATTTTCGGCCACCTTCCCTTTTAACCAGGACCTCTTAACAACCTCTGTCCCCCGTCCTCTTCAGAGCTCGAATAACCATCAACGAATTCCATTCGAGCTTAAAAACCTACTTTTCTTTTCAAAACAAATAAGACTGAGGTTGGAATTTTCATCCCCTTACACACAGAAACCACAGAATTCAAATTTTAAGACTTAGGTTGGAGGAAGATGTAACAGCCCAAGCCCACCGCTGGTAGATATTGTCCTCTTTGGACTTTTCCTTTCGGGCTTCCTCTCAAGGTTTTTAAAACGCGTCTACTACGAAGAGGTTTCCACACCCTTATAAAGAATGTTTCGTTCTCCTCCCCAACCGACATGGGATCTCACAGAAAATCACTTGTATACAAAACCTTCCCATCTTATCTCGGCCCGACATGCCTTACAGAAATGACTGGTTCAGTTCCCCATATATATCAGTAATGTCTCCTCAATCACTTCCCAAATAACAAACCATCCCCTTTTGTTGATTCCAACAGGGACCAGAATGCTTCTTTGATAAAAGAATGATGTAGAACAATAAAAGCACCCTAAATTAACCAGACTCAACAAAAAATTGAAGAGACTTGAACAACTTTTTGAACAAGTTTTCTAGCGTTGCGAGACTTTGAGCTTTCAAGTAAAGTTGTTACCTCTTCAGCCAATGATTTGAAAACATGAAAAGGGACAATCCATTCAGGGCAATCAACAGCATCCTGCAACAGGAAGATACCTTCAATATAAAAGCAAAATCACGGAAACATAGCCAAAAGGCCATGAACAACCACACCTCTAAGGAAATTGAGCTATATAATAAGGCCTGCAACGCTCATATATTAGATATTGTACCTCTAGATGAAACAAGTACTTTATACCAAACGGGCTGGAAGCGTTAAATTTCTGAACCAGCAAAAACGAATAATTGTCAATTTCAATTTAATCTAACTATTGAATAAAATTATTCATTACAAAACAAAAGGGTCGTCTTCCACCTTTTCGGCATGTTCTTCATCAAAGCGTATCCAATAGACGCTATTTCCAAACGTCAAGCCTTGAGCTGCAAATTTACAGCAGAAGAAGCATCATTGGTCTGAAGAGATGTACATTTGTATGTTCAAAAACAGGAAACCACATCGAATCACATCACAATTTATAGAGTCTGGTACTAGAGGAGTTCATGGCAATTCATCACAAACCAACCAAAAAGTGAAGGAAAGGTAGCAAGAAAATCTCTTCATACTAACATATTAACTTCAATAGTAAGTAACATGGGGGGAAGACAACATGTAGAAACCAATGTACAATGAAAACATATTAAAATCTATGAGACGAATGTTGAACTTATACAACACTGCCCATTTCTCCGCCAAGTTCATAGATTCGTTGTTACTTGGAGCAAATATTTTCATTGCTAGATGAATCAACACAATCATAATCTTGCTATATTATGTCATTCGTAGAAGAGCTTGGGACAGAAATGGTATTTGCCTATGAGAGATGAAAGTTGGAAAGTCAAAACAAGAAAAATACCTTCTCTAAGCTTTTTGACGATCACGTTAGCATCTGGCATGGTACCAATGAGAATACCTCCTGGGCGGAGAAGAGCTGATATATTGGCCAAGGCGCGTCGTGCACGAGCCTCGGTAGACCAAGAATAATGCAATGCAAACTGCAAGTTTTAGTTTCAATGGAAGATTTAGAATTTGTTCAGATAAACTCTCAAGGAATCTTCTGATTTTTATCCAATTTAGAAAAAAAAATCTTTAAGAAGAACATGTATGGGTAGAAAATCCATCAATGTGCCTCCGATTGTGAGTGCATCTACATTGTTTCTTAATCGGTTTGGATGATGTTAATTGGTTTGGATGATGCCAAGTGCAAAAGATCTAATAGCGGAAAGTACATACCAAACCGAAAAACCGTTTACTTTACCCTAACAAGAAGGGCATAAATCACTGATATCACTCACCTGGCAACTGCAAATGTCGAACGGAGCATCATCTGCTAGGATATGATCCAGCCTTGCCTAAAAGGGCAAATTCGCAAGTCAATCCAACAGTGTTCAATGATAATCGTAATCAAATTCACACTATATTAGGCAAACGGTTAACTGTGAGATCCATTTTTCAAACAGGGCTGACTTGGAAACATCAGTATGAAGGCAGTCACCGGTACAAATGAAAAGCTCAACAGTATAGAAATCAAACGTGTGCACAGAAAAGGGAGCAGATCTCAATTCATTAGCTATTCATCTAAGTTCTACTACCTCATAACAATCTCCACATATGAGGCGGGCTGGAAATGAAAATTTTTTACGACGTTGATGATGATCAGCGTCACCATTGTAACGAGTACGACAATCTTCTATCTGCAACACAACACCATAATAACCTTAGACACATGATTTTGTCACAGGCACAACACACTTAACCAAAGCCCATGCTGGAGAAAATAAAGGGATAACAATCCAAGGGATTGTTTACTATTCAACTAAAGGTTATAAACACTCATGGAGCCGAGATACTCCGGAAATAACTTCAAAATTAATAACTCTAACAAGAATTTCACTTACTGATCCTTCAGCAATATCAATGCCAACATAATATCCAATTCTGGCCTTATCCCATTTGATAAGATCACCACCCTAGCAAGTGCAAAAGAAAAGTGTTCAACGCAAGAGCAAACTACAGCAATTCTTAAAGATTAAAAAGACTTATTACCTTGCCACAGGCAAGGTCGAGAACGGCATCTCCTCGACGAGCATAAAGCTGAACCAAGACACTCTTAATCTATCCAATGAGAACAAGTCATGAACGAACCATTAAAATGATAAAGGATCGGGAATCAAACATAAGGTTAAACTGTACAGTAATCAAAATACAAAAAATACCCAATTGTTAAGCTTTTTTAAATGGATGATAACACTAGCTTCTCGCTCTTCTAAAGTCTGATTTGTCCTAGCACTGTAATGATCAGCCACTTTCCGAGCAAAAATTTTGGTGGTTTCATCTTCTAAGAACTCAGTATCGCCTAAAAAATAGAACTCCAGAACCATTATTACAGTAATCCCAAACTTCAAATACAACGAACTATACATATTCAAGTAACTCCACTGGAAATCATCAAGCAACATCAAATTAAATGTCAAACCCACAAAGAAAAACAGATCCAAAAAGTGCAAAACTCGATTGGCAGACGAATTGAAACCATATAACGAAACGAATGAGAATTGCACCTTCTGGGTTGTGCTTGAATCTGGATTGAGGTGGCCCCAAAGACGCCGATGGGGATTCTGAGTATCCTCGTTTCATAGCTAAGAAGGGGAAGAAAGAACCTGAAATCAGGGGTGCCGTAGATTATAACTCAAATACGAAAAAGGGGGTTTTTGTTTCTTATTCCTATAATCTTTTGAGCAATATGACGGCTGCTGTTAGTTTCTGAATCGAGAGAAATAGAGACGAGAAAACCCCATTGGCTGTAAGCAATCAGAATTTGTGGGGAATTAAAAGGGGAAAAGGGGTTCTTCGTAACCCCAAGGTTGAATAAAGTTGTAATTCTACGAGAGAAACGCAGTGCCGGGAAGGAGTGTTAACGGTTCGGTTCGGTTCGGTTCGGGTGATTCTATTTTGGACCGGACCGGACCGAACCCCTGCGTTTTAACGAGTTCCATGAAGATTTCTCGATGTCCGGTTAATACCGAACCGGTGAGTTTTAGGTTGGTCAGTTCGTTTTAAACCCTTTTTTTAATTATTAAAAAAAATAGAAAACAACAATTTATATTTAACACGTGTTATAATTTTTTTTTTTTTTTATCTGTTCAATTTTTTGTTAAATTTACCGGCTGATTTACCGTCGAGTAAATTAAGAATATATATAAAAAAACGAATTTTAACCGAATCAAACTTTATTAAAATTTAGTCTAAATATGCACAAAATCAATAATCAGGTAATATTTTTAAATATGGAAAATTCTAATTAAAAAATAAATAAATATCAAACGAGTTTTGAAGTAAAATCTATTTTGGAGTAAAAATTAGATTAGTTAAACTATAAGTGACATATATCTTAAATAAAAAAAATGAATTTTATAAAATTATAATTACGTTTAATTATTATTAAAATTTGATAATTTGTGTGTATTTTTTTTAGTTGTTGTCTCGAGTATGGTCGTGGGTTTTAAAAGTTAGCTCTCTGACTCGCACTATCTATCATCAAGTGTCAATGCAATAAAAGATGAGTTCTCTCTTCTTCTTGCGAACTACGGGAGCATCGTGAGCAAAGAGAAACAAAGCTCGTTTTCCTTTCAAATTAAACCAATGCATGAAAAAAAGGTCGACCCATCAAAAGTCTAATTCATCTACAAGTGAATTTATAATCAATGAAGGTTCCGATAGCGTAACGAGTAAACAAGTAAGACACAATCCCAGTCTTTTGTTCATAACGAAAAAGATATTAAATAGTATATGTTTATAAAATATATATATATATATATATATATATATATATATATATATATATATTATTTACCTTACAATTTTGACCCTCTATCTAATTTTGGTTAATTCTTGCACTATATTACAGGTATATTTTATAATTTATTAAACGCAGTTATTTCAAGATCCAATATTATAATTTATAACAAATGTAGAGCTTGTCATTTTCCCTCTTACTTTCTCGTCAGAAATTCGTTTCTGAATATCCGATCTGCAAGCTTCATGCCGAGACGAATTCATTGTGGATTCTCGCTTCTTCGATCGTTTCAATCTCAGCCGAAATCGATTTGCCTTCTTGAAGAGTCGGAAATGGCGAGTTCAGTAAGTTGATTAATCCATGTCTTTAACAATTTTGATCTTTCTATTTCGTCATTTTGTATCATTTATTCAATTTCAGTTTTGACATATTGTGTGCATTGTTATGCTTGATATGAGTATACAATAGTTACAAGAGTATGAGGAATAAATCAAGTTTGATTCATCTGTTTGTCTTCTGATTTGAGCATACTCTTAAACCATTGAACGGATGCCTTTGGAATCCTTGTGAGATTGTTCTTGTAGTCAATATAGTAGAGTCCAAATCGGACGGTGTATCCCATGTTCCACTCCCAGTTATCGAGCAGCGACCACGCGAAGTAGCCTTGTACATTGCAGCCTTCTTCCCTGGATTTATTTAAGGATGCCAAAAGATTTAGTGTTGTTGAATCAATCCAGTGAAATTTCATCTAATAAAGGATTATCATTAGCATTTTGAGTTGTTATCACCTAATGGCAGTGGATAGATTTGAGAGATAATCTCTGTGGTAGCTTATTCTCTTATCATCCTGTAATGCCTTTTCCAAAGGTATGGACCGTTTGTTTGGATCATCCATTCCTGTCAGAACGAGTTGAAACTTGTGTCATTTTGTGAAAATTTTGAGTTCAAAGTTTGAAACTTTCATTACTCACCGTTCTCTGTTATAATCACTGGAGGGTTTCCATACTTGTATTTCAAATAAATTGCCAATTTCCGGATTCCCCATGGAACAATGTGTAACCAGCGGGAAGCTGCCTGGAAAAGGATGTTTGTATCAGCTCACTTCAATTAAAATATACAAGAGAACCTCTTGGGATCCAGACTTGTTTGAGACATACTCTTTCTCCAATGGTAGAGACACCTTTGTGTGCTGCAATAGAGCATTTGTAGAATAAAGATTGATTACCTTCCATTTTTTATTTATAGCCGTACATGTACAATTTGCAAACATTTTTGAGCAAATATATGAATATGGAGAATAATATTGTGCTTAAAAGCTTACGGGTAGCAATGACATAAGAATCTGTTGAGGCGTCATTGAATATCAGTTTTCGAATCCCAATCCTGTCATTTCGAGCATACAAGGAGGTGTAGTGGTTCAAACCAACGAAATCCAGGGTCCCTGTGAGGAACTTTGAAGTTTCACCTGATATTTTTGGTAGTCTTTCCCCCACAAGCCTTCTCATTGAAAGAGGATATTTGCCAAAGAAAATTGGATCAAGAAACCTGAAAATTTTCAAGGTTGTTCCATCAAATTCTTGAAATTCAATATCTGGTATGTGCAATCACTTAATTAATGGAGATGAGCAGTTACCATCCAAGTTCAAAGTCAAGGGCTCTAAGTGCTGCTTCTCTGTTCTCGTCATTTTCAGATATTGGTTCATACCATATGGCATCTAATGCTATTCCTATCTGACCTCCTTGTCTTTTCTAGTAGACAAAAAAACATGACATATTAACTTCTTAGTTTACTTATGGCTTATTTACGTGCTTCAAAGTTTCCGGAGTTAAAAATTGCATATTATAGTACCTTGAAATGAATTTGGTAACTGTGATAAGCAGCAGCATGAGATAAGAGAATATGATGTGCCACTATATATGGTTCAGAGGATGAATTTCCCTTCTTGCATAATATATGACCCAAGAAAGAACATCTACCAGGAGCTTGAATTCCTAGGTCATAGCTTTTTATGGAGTAGCCATGTGGTTCATTGAAAGTGATCCAGTTCTTCACTCTATCTCCAAAGGCTTGGAAGCACGTAACAGCATAATGTTCAAAATCTTTTCTACAAGGAATTGAGCTTGTTATCAACTGATCATCATTTCCAAGCATTGGTATATCATCTGGTTTAGTTGTACTTACACTATCCTTCTGCTCAGCCATCCTTCGTACTCATCTTCAAGGACTTGTGGAAGATCCCAATGGTAAAGAGTTACAAAAGGTTGAATTCCTTGTTAAAAGGAAAAACTCACTTCAGTGATATATTACCATATGGAAAATTGAATGCTGAGAAATGATTTAATAGATGACCTTTTTCTAGCAAAGCATCTATAAAATCATTGTAGTAGTTTATTGCATCTGGGTTTGGCTTTCCTGTTCCATCTGTTGATAGTTTCTCATAGGCAGTTAATGATATATTGTTGGGAAGGAAATGCAGTTGGTTTAAATACTTGAACTGTTTCTTACTTGGAAGGATTCTTGGCCATGAGACTGAAAATCTGTAGGCATCCATGCCCATATCCTTCATCAGCTGTATATCGTCCTATAATAAGAACATAATTTACATCTAGTTAGTAATAAGAATGGGAATCAAAGAATGACTATAATAAATGAACTCAAGTATGACAGGTGTTTATCCTCCCATTATTATATTTTGCAGTTGGTTTGTCATTAATGCATTATTTACTTCTCTCTCTCTCTTCACCTTAAATCTGTGGTATTGGTCAACTGTCCTGTCTGCATTGCTGAAGTCTAGTATTCTTCCTAAACAATGCACCAAAAGAAAAAGAAATTTACTCACTACTAGTATGAATTATATTGTATTCAAACTAGTCTTCTGTCGTAAAAATAGGGAAAAAGTGTTCCATCAAATTTTAACTTGCCTGGTTCCTTCACAAATGTATCCCATATGCTGACACCCCGATTTCCTTCATCTACAGCCCCTTCGAACTGCCATAGAATATGTTATTTGTTCATATTTTTAGAAACCCAGCAATGAAAGTAGCCATAAATCCCTCCTTACCTGGTATGCCGATGCTGCAGTTCCAAAAACGAAGCCATCTGGAAACTCATCTCTGCTTAGACATTCAGAATTAGTAAAGAATTGACTAATCAGAGAACAAATCAGAATGATTCTCATGGGGAAAAGTTTGAATTCCTGATGAGAAGATGAACTCTCAGGTCGTCCAGTTTAAATTCCCCAAATCATTCTTAAGTACTTTGTCTTGTTAGGTATTTCGCCTGCTGGAATAGGAAAAGAAAAAGAAAAACAATGGATAGAAATGCAAAATTGTCAAGAACAACAATGGATAGATTAGCTGAATTATGAAATAAGTTGCGTGTAATCTATCTCAATCTCTTCCCTTTCTTCCTCTTCTTCACTTTTTTGAATCTATATGCAGTTGGTGATATCAAAAGAGAGGAGAAATGGATAGAAAGGAATCTAAAGATGACATCCGGCAAGCAACTGTGTCATTAAAAAAATTGCTTCAAAGTGGCGTGTCTGTGGAGAAGAAGCTCACGTTTGAAAAGCTTTAAAGCTTCTTAATTTGATGAAGCCAAGGCAACAACCGAAAGACCAGGGCGGTTTGCATTGAAAGGTAAGTCTTCTCTTCTTGTTACTGAATCCAATATACAGTTTTTTCCATTACGGTGGTGATTATAATAATGCCCTGCTCGAAAATAATGGAGAACAAAAGGGGATAAGGTCAAAAGAGGATTAAATTTAGGGCCCTGCAACATCTTTCAATTACATTCTTTATTTGTTAAATTTCCAATTTAGACCAACCTTAAATTTTCTTATCCCATCTTTATCGACAATTTTTTTTTTTTTCTTTTTTCCATATTTTAATTCTTTGGGGGTGTTTGTTGAGATGGAAAATGACATGGGTTTTATAAAAAAAAAAAAAAGTTGCATTAAAACCCATCCTTTATTTTATTTTACTTGTTTTTTTTTTTTCCTTTTGTATTATTTCTTCCTCCACTAATTTTAATAATCAACAAAATAATTTAAAAAATGCCCTAATGTAATCCACAAAATACAAATTCTTTAACTAATAAGGGTAGTTTGGTTCAAAGTTTTATTTATAATTTTTGAGAAAATAGTGTCTCAAAATCAAATAAATTTTTTTAAACAATTTTATTACATTATTTTTAGATAATTAATTATTGTAACTACTTTATTTTTATTAAATTAGATTATTAAAATAATTTTAATTAATTTAATTTTTATTCATGTAGATTAAATTGTAGGGTTTTTTTTTTTTAAGTTTATTTTATAATAAATTTTAATAATTTTTTTGAGTTTATTTTATATTTTTTTAATTTTTTGTATTATATTTCTTCTAAATATAATTTTTTAGATTATTTATATTTAGTTTTGTTTCTCTTTCTTTTGTAACTTCTTCTACTGAGTATATTTGATTTAATATACTTTATTCCACCCTATACAACATTTAATTTTTGAAATATAAGTTGGCTAAATATTTAAAAGTTTATATAATTTTATTAAAATCATCTTTTTAGAATAATTATTAAAATTTATTATAAAATAAACTCAAAAAAAAAAAACCAATTTAATCTACATGAATAAAAATAGAGTAGTTACAATAATTAATTATCTAAAAATAATGTAATAAAATTGTTTAAAAAAATTTATTGGATTTTGAGACATTATTTTCTCAAAAATTATAAATAAAACTTTGAACCAAACTACCCTTATTAGTTAAAGAATTTGTATTTTGTGGATTACATTAGGACATTTTTTAAATTATTTTGTTGATTATTAAAATTAGTTGATAATAAGGTTTATTGAAAATTTATAAAACAAATTAGGCCATATTACGTCATATAAGCTTGTCATTGTTTTAAAGTATATGCTTATTTTTTCTTCGTTTGCCATAGTTAAAATCTCTCTCTTTCCATCCCTTTTTCTTTCAATATTAAGCAAGAGAGGGATAAATTATATATGGGTCAATATTATTTCGTTGGAGCCTCATGTTTATTATAAGGTTTAGGTCCAAAGCTTAATAAACTAAGCTAAACTTATTAATCAATCCCTACCTCTACCTCTTCCTCTGCTAAAAGCTTTTAAGTTTTTCATATGTTCTAACGTAGTTGTAACAGTCCAAGTCCACTGCTACTAGATATTGTCCTCTTTAAGCCTTTCCTTTCGAGCTTCCCCTCAAGGCTTTAAAACGTGTCTATTAGGTGAAGGTTTCCACACCTTTACAAAGGGTGTTTTGTTCTCCTCCTCAACCAATGTGGGACATACAATAGTTTTCCTAAAAAAAAAAACAATAGATAAGATAACAAATTTTAATACCAAAGCTTTATTTGTTTATTATTTAATATTGAATCTATTATTTTTGGTTGAGGTTATCCATTTGGTATCATTTGTTGAATGATTGATAGCCTATACTTTGTTTTGACAAGTAACTCGTGGTTGAGAATAGATAATTCAAATTACACGCCATAATAATAATGATAATAGTAGAAAACGACCATTAGATAAAATCTATGTGCGATCAAAGGACCAAAAAAACTTAAAAAGTATGAGGGTGAAATTCAAATGTTAGGTCAAATCATTTAGAGGGTATGTTTTTATTTAAATATTTTTTAGCGGATTTTTTTTTTTTAATTGGATTATGTGATCCAAACACAAATTCCTAAAAATCTCCTTTTTAATGCTTTCGGTGTTTTCTTATTCTGAATTTGAAAATTCAAATTGTAAAATTACGCTATTATTAAAATAAAAAGAAACTTCAATAAATATATTTTTTAATTAAAATATATTAATAAATTTATTAACAATATTCAAATTTTAACCAAACATTTGTAGGTAAATCACTCCTATTATTATTATTATTTTATTATTATTATTTTATACATTACTAAATGCATTTTGAACGACTTTTTAAAGTGGGATTTAATTTCTAAATTTATTATCAAAATACATATTAAAAATACTAAAAATATACCATACAACTTTATTATTTGTTGAATCTTTTGTTTTATAATGTGTTTGGGAGATTTATGTATGTTTACTTATTTAATCTAGGTCACTACTATACTTTAAACGCAGAATTTATTTGGTTCTTATCATAATGGGGACATAAGTTTGTCTTTTATTACCTTATGAATAAGGAATACAAGGAAAAGAAATGGGAAAATAACTCTTAAATAAATGTTCTATACTAACTTATGATTTATTAATGCGATTACAATTTAACCTATACTAATGATGCAAATGGGAATTCAACCTATACTAACCTATACTATGAATGCAAATGAAATTCAGCCTATACTAACCTATACTACGAACGGAAAATAACTATCTGATGCATGTGCCACAACCCGAGATGTGCGATGCTGCCATCGGTCTCACATGGGTGCCTTGCCTTTTTATGAAAATGTGGTAGCATGAGACTTGAGTATTTCTAGAATGCTTAGTAAGTGACCCCCTATCGGAGTTATGCAACAATCACATGCGATCTATCTTTCAATCTATCTTCCTTCTGTACTGTCCTAACGAGTAATTTGAACGTGTACCATATACTTTACACACAGCCCATACATGCGTGTATGGGCTTACCAGTTAGTTCGCACACCGCTGGGCCACTTTCCTTGTCGGACGAGCATACTTTGGGAGCTCTTTAGGCCGAACACCTGTTAGAACTAGTAAGCACGGCAACGCTATGCAAAACATAACAAATGTACACCTACCATTGGGTGTACGCATCCGTACTCTTGTGATGGAATAGAGGTATCCTCCTAATGCATGAGCACACATAATGCATGAGGTTTCCAATATTTCTACTTTTATCATTAATGAATATAACCCCGCTATCATCTTTCATGCTTAACATGTCATTTCTCATTTTTCAGTCTACATATCATACATAATCCTAAAATGGGGTTACATTTCATGCAATTTATTGTGATTTCATGTCATACTTTACATTCAAATTATAGTACCATTCATGCCAGAATTATCCTGACACATCATACACATCATAAGCATGGCACATCACATCATACTAAACAACATACATTCACATTTCACAAACATACTTAATCGAGTATAACAGTCTAGCATACAATTTAATGACATGTGCGAATCCACGGGCACGTGCTAACATATAACATACAATGCGTAAACCTATGACGGTGAGCCACTTACTTGGTAGGACTTAGCCGAAGTACTCCCTAAAATATAAACGTAAGCTCCTAGCTCCTCGTATATGTCCTATGCTTCTGTTGGTGGTTAGTTCCTATTGGATCATTCGACACCTTCCTTAGTATTTCAAAAACATAATTAATTTCCAACTTGAATTTGTGAAATACGGCCTTAAAATGATATATTTTACCTTAAACGAGTCGAAATCAAGTTGCGGGAGGGTCAGAACAGTGCCGAACAGGTTAAAAATAGGGTTCCCGAGCCGAATAAGTCGCCAGAGACAACTAAGCCGTCAGAGCCGAGGGAGTTTAGCGCCAGAATTTTCCACGTGACGCTACCAGGAGCGGCCGCGTGTGCTAGTCGAAGTCGGGCCGAGGCACGAGTCGTCGGGTCGAGCACGGGTTTTCGGGTTGCAGTCGCGGGTCTAGGTTAATTGCGAGTGGTGGACTGAGCATGGACTAAAAGGAAACGATTGCAGGTGGGCTGGGCTGTGAACGTCGGGTATTGGATTGGGCTTGCGGGTCTCAGGTCAGTTGGGTTTTTGGTCTCGGGTCGCGGCTGATGGGTTAGGACGTAATTGGGATTCCTGGTTTAGGATGAGGCGACTGGGCCGTGGGGGTGTTGTCGGCCGAGGTTTAGACTAGAGTGGGTTGGACTCAGTTCGGGTCGCGGGGGTCCGACCCTCAGTTCGGGCCGGGGTCTATTGTTGTGGTGACCCTCGAAGTTGGGCGAACGGACCACAATGATATTTGGGGTTTGTGTTTTAATTTTATTTCCTCCACGATACTTATTTATATATTTTTATTTATTTATTTATATTCGAATTATGGTGTGAATATATATTTTTAATAATTTAACTTCAAAATAGATTAAAAAATTAATATAATTATATAATTGTATGGCAAAATATACATATTTTTTAAATAATCAGGGAAGGAATAAAAATATATTCTTATCAAAGCCAAACCCATAACTAATCCGAACAGCGGATAAAGCTACACCTGTTCCCAAACACCAGTCTAGGGCAACCCTCAATCGGTCTCTAAAAACCCTAATCCCCATCATTTCTCAGTTCTCAATTACAGCGCCACTTCCTCCCCTTCCCCCAAATCCCCCAATCCCTAATTCAGATCCTCCAATGGGTCGTGTCATCAGAGCTCAACGTAAGGGTGCCGGATCAGTTTTCCGGTCTCACACCCACCACCGCAAGGGTCCTGCCCGTTTCCGCTCTCTTGATTTCGGGGAACGAAATGGTTACCTGAAAGGCGTGGTCAGTGAGATCATCCACGATCCCGGTAGGGGTGCGCCGTTGGCCCGCGTCACCTTCCGCCACCCTTTCCGCTACAAGCACCAGAAGGAGCTCTTTGTCGCCGCTGAGGGTATGTACACTGGTCAGTTCGTTTACTGTGGAAAGAAGGCTAACCTCGTCGTCGGTAATGTGCTTCCCATTAGAGCCATTCCTGAAGGTGCTGTGGTTTGTAATGTTGAGCACCATGTTGGTGACCGAGGTGTGTTCGCTAGATGCTCTGGTGATTATGCCATTGTTATCAGTCACAACCCAGATAATGATACCAGCAGGTAAATTTTGATTTCTACACTTTCTTCTTTTTGTTATTTTATGAAACAGAATCGAATCATGATTGAATAAGAACTATAGGTTTTTCTTTGATTGTTGTATGTGGTTGTGTACTTTTCATGACTCGTTCTTTCTTGCTAATTGTACTATGGATGTTTGTGCTATAATTCGTTTAATGAAGTTTCAACTGAATCGAACAAATGGGTTTGACTTGAATTTGCCTTTTGCGGTCAGAGATTACAGATTTAAGATCTCTGTTTTGGGCTACGTCCCTTTCTCATACATTCTTTGAAATTAGTTTATTGTTTTACTAAGAGTTCTATTTGTGCTTTAATTAACAAACAGTAATTCAATTGATATATGTGGATAATCTTATTGACATATTTGAACAATTTGTATGGGAAGGATTGTTAGGAAACAAGAAGATAGTTTTGAAAGGACTGCCTGAAGATAATTTATGACATCTGATTGTAATGCTTTTAGCTTCCATACGGATTAATTCTTATTATAACTAATTCTTATTTTCTTTCATTTTTATAGTTTCACTTGATTGTTGATATAATGTTGTGCTTCGGTGCAAAGAATATTGTTCATCTGTAAAATAAGTTTTATTTGTGTTCTGTTCTTGGAGTGATGCCTAAAGTTAGTAGCTTTACAGCACGGAGTTCCTCTTTTATCGATGAACATGAACATCGATATGCTATTAAACTTTTATCACAGGAAAACTTGTTGTACTCCTTTAGAATAGAAACTCTCCTTGTTTATGTTTACTTGCTGCGTGATTTGCAAGCGTTTGCCATTGTGTCTTCATTTATCTTAAGAAGGCACATGTAGAGTACCCTCTTTGGAATGAGTATAGATGATATGTTTATCTATCATCTTTGTCAGGTGAAAAGGAAAATTGATGAAGGAGATTAATTTTTTGTAGTGAACTGCAATTGTGTTTATGAATGCTTTTGCTAATTTTGTTGCTCGAATATTGGGATTTTTTTATTTGATTCCTAGTCTGCCTTCATCTCTAAAAGTCTGTGTTTTGCAGGATTAAGCTACCATCTGGAGCAAAGAAGATTGTCCCAAGTGGGTGCCGTGCTATGATCGGTCAGGTTGCTGGAGGAGGACGAACAGAGAAGCCTCTTCTGAAGGCAGGTAATGCTTACCACAAGTTCCGTGTGAAGCGTAACTGCTGGCCCAAGGTTCGTGGTGTTGCTATGAATCCTGTTGAACATCCCCATGGTGGTGGTAACCATCAACACATTGGTCATGCCAGTACCGTCCGCCGTGATGCCCCACCTGGTCAAAAGGTTGGTCTCATTGCTGCCAGAAGAACTGGTCGGCTCCGGGGACAGGCTGCCGCCACTGCTTCCAAGGCTGATAAAGCTTAGAGCCATAGTTTCATGTGTTGGACGCTTATTTTGCCTAATCCTTAGCCTTTTTTCATTATGTTTGATTGGATTTGCATTGTGTTGAAGAAGACCATATTTAGAAGTTTTTGTCCCAAGTTTTGTTACAACATAGATCCTTTTTTAACAGAATCCTCTCTCCTATTTCTGGTTGCTACAATGAACTTGAGAACTTGAATACCAAGTAATCCCTGTCAAAATCATCTATATTTCCTGTTTACCTTGTTCTCTCTATGGATAATTTATCAACTTAAACAGGCTTTTGAAATGTGATACAATTACTCGATCCCCGTCCATTTGAGGTTGGTTTATCTATGAGGTTCCTCAAAAGTCTTTTAGTTGGCTTCCTAAAGATTATCTAGAGCCTTTGTTGACCCTAGGGGATTGATTGGACTTCAAGAACCTTTCAATCGACTTTCTAAAGATTATCTAGCCCCTTTGTTGACCTTAGGGGCTTGATTGGATTCTGAGGTTCCCCAAGAATCTTTCGTAGCTTGGCTCATTATTGGCGAGATAATGGTCTACTTCTTCACATTCACTGTGCAATGCATGTCATTATTGATAGACAGAATAATCAATCATGGTATGCACTTCTGTGTACTAGGTAAAGCGTTACGTTTGTCTGGTGGAGACTATATTCACGTTGGTACCGTAGTAGGTATGAAGGGGAAAGAGACATCAGTTTTGGCTTTGTTGATTTACTATGTGATGATTTTGTTGAAAAAGATCGAGACTACCTAGATATTATCCTTGTAAATGAAAACAAAATTAGAAAATTGTTTGAAATTATTCCCTTATTGGGCCAGTCATTACAACCATCGGCCCATTTAAAAAACCATATTGGGCCTCATTTGTGGCGTGCCCGACTAACGACAGAGATAACTAGAGAAAATAGCGGAAAGACACATTTACCCTTAAATAATGAGAACATTTTGGCAAAATCTAGGACATTTCAGTAATTTAGTCAGTACCCGCCTTCTTATTCCATTTTTGTCAAAGCAGACTGCAACGTCGGCTTTTTTACAAGTTTTTCTTAGTCTGTTCCTGAAAGGGTTTAGCAGATTAAACCCACAAGGCCATGGCTCTCAGATCGGCTGCGGCGGTGGCTTCTCGGTGTTTGAGGCGGCTCATTATAGGTACTTCATCTCGTACTCTACCGATAATCTCGCAGGCAATTTGGGATTGGGAGAAACTGGAATCGAGCACGAATGCCTTCGTTTCTGGGCGGCTTTTCTCTAGCACTTCAATTTCCAGTTTCATTCCTCCGCCGCTCCCTCCGTCAGCTCAGCAGCGTGAGAAGCCTGAGCCTAGTTCTAACCTTTTTGTTTCCGGTAACTCACTCTTTCTTAATCTAGATGTCTTTCTTTTATTTGTTTTAATAATCGTGTAGTTGTTTCTCGTAAATATGTCGCGATTTGTACATCGACCATTTTTCTGGTAGTGAATCTGCGAATATTATTGTGTTTAATGGTTCTATTCCTGCCGAATCATCTCTGTGTGGCTATGGTGTCGTTACGTATTTGAGTTTGTGGAATTTCAGTTTTCCTGTTGTTTTTTTTCCTTCTCTTTAATTATTAATTTGTTCGATAGCTTTTTAGTTAGTGTTAAGACATCTTTTTGAGTTTTATACTTTTTTCCCCTCCGCGTTCTTGAGTTTGCTTCACCCCTGGGTTAGCAATTGTAGTGATGCATCCGTATATTTATCAAGTTTTAATATCGGAGAGTTAAGTCGTGGTAGAATATCAAGTGTTGTATGCTTAAGTCTATGCTTGATCACATGAGGTGGCTATCCGTTCTCTGGGAGGGGCGTTACTTTTATCTCTTTTATTGATTGGTTCTTGGAGGTTGGAATTGAAATTTGGCTATGAATGTGTTTTTTTTCATTTTTCTGTTTGTTCCCCAGTAGAGGAATTATTCTGATTTTTAATCTAGATAATTGAATTATTGTTGTTGCTCTAAAAAAAAAAAAAAGTCTCTGTTTTTCATGTGACGGTGGTGTTTATCTTCTTTCAGGCCTCAGTAAACGCACTACTACTGAAAAACTAAATGAAGCCTTCGCAAAATTCGGAGAAGTTGTTCATGGTCTGTCCGTTCTCTTTGCTTATGTTTGATTTGTGCTTAGGCCTGAAAAATTGCCGTCTTTGACCTTTTGTTTTCCCTTCTGTTTACAGCAAGGGTTGTGACTGATCGAGTGACTGGATACTCTAAAGGATTCGGCTTTGTTAAATATGCTACTTTGGAGGATGCAGCTAAAGGCATAGAGGGCATGGATGGCAAGGTGAGTTTGCATCAATTCCCTATCTTCTCATTCGAGACGTGAAGCTTGTCTTTTGTGTAGTTTTATCCACATTTATACAAGATTCCTGGATCTCTTACTCATGTTTTGTGCCTGTGCTAGGAGAGAGGCCAAGGTTGTTGACTACTCTATGAACAGAAACCCTAATAAATGAGAGAAAAAATAAATTAGAATATGCTTTATTATGCTAATGGGGCGTACCACACAAATAAATACAAGATTCCTGAATATGGCTAAGATAGCATTCTAGAGCATTTGATCAGCAGCATGGAAAACATATTACCTCGTACAATACTCAGCTATTGACTGTGATACCTGCTTTGCAATCTTGAGTCTGATTATATCTGACTTGGTAGAAATTTCTCATTCTCATTTGCAATGGTGTTTGCTTGATGTAATTCTTTCAAACATAGTATTATTATGTGGAAACTCATAGATTTAGTTATCGAGCTTTTCTTCTACAATTAGAATCCGGAGTGATATTCATATCCTAGGTAAACCATAAGCTCAAAGCTGTGTGTGGTATAATTTCTCTTGGACTTAAGCCAACACATGGTGGTTGCATTTTGATCAAATATTCTAAAGAGTATAATCTTGTTGCCAAAATTTGGGTGGTATTTGACACTCCCTTGTGATGGTCCTTCTCACCGTTATTTTGATGGTACGTCCCTTTTGGGTGTGAAGCCTTTGTTGCGGATGCATGTTGCCTGGACTTTCTTTTGGGTTTTATTCAAGAAAAGAAACCAAAAGGTGCTCTTCGACAAAGAGCTCACCTTTGGTGGGTGTTTTGATTTTGTTATTTATCATTATTATTATCATCAATTGTTAAATCCATTGCCAATATGTTGCTAAATTGTTAATGAGCCTTCGTTGTCAAAAGGTCTTTAAAGAACAGACTTAACAATACAAAACAATTGTAATTAAACAATTAATTGATTTAGGTCTCTTTTAAATCCATTTTGTTCATTTTTGGAGTTCAACAATTGTAGGGGTGAGAGTCTAAACCATTTACTTTGACATAACTTCCCTAGGTTTTCTTCACTATAGTTTTTGACATTTTGGTAGAATAATTTTGTTATTGGCTGTTCAAATTAATTTGATTCCATGCAGTTTAACATATACTCCGGTAAACTTTAGAGATTAGAATGGGGAGACTGGTTTAATGCTTGCTTTTGAACACACGTTGTAATTTGTTTATCATGATTGAATGATGATGAAACTCCATTTATTTTACCTCTTAATGTTTTCCAGTTCCTGGATGGTTGGGTTATATTTGCTGAGTATGCAAGGCCAAGACCACCTCCCGAGCACCATTCTGCTCCTCCGCATAGCCAGCGACCATATTAATTTTTGCAAGGAAGAATGCTTGCCATATCCACTAAGCTCTCCTGGTCTGCAAACTAGCACGCAACATTTATACACGATTCAAGTTCTTTTTTCAACGGAGGTTCGTTATTCTCTTCCATTGCTTAGAACCTTTTTGTACTACGGAACTGGAGATTAGCCGCAAGAATCAGAGTATATTTATATTGAGAGAAGAAATTTTATACGTACCATGTATGACCCTATTTCTAAATACACTTAGTCAAAACTAATTTATATATAAATTCGCAAATAAACTTACTTTCCAGTGCATTTTTTGTCAAGTGAAATTGGATTGAATATATATATATATTTTTGATATGCTGCGTAGAAATGAAGAAAAGCTTGATTCAAGCTTAATAAAGGGAATTATGCATGTAATCTCATAAAAGAAACTAGAAAGAAATGCTAGATTTCTTCTTGCTTATGAAATGCTGAAAAGTTCTTCATCAATTTTAACCTACAAAGTATAGATGCATATCTTTTTTGCTTGCATGATTGAGTAACAAAACTGCACAAATGAGCCAAGTTGTGCTTCTCTTTGTAGTTCATTATGTTTTAGTTTTTATGTTTTCTTCAATGGTTCATTAGATTTAGATTCTGCCATCGATTCATTTGATAAGTCAGTCATCGAAACTTTCCCTTTCAATGACAGACTAGACTAGTTTTGAACCAATTTTTTTTGACTAAATCCAAAGCTTGAAGTATCATTTGTACAAATAAAAATTCCAAATGTTTCATGTGAGATCCTACGTCAATTGGGGAGGAGAACGAAACATTATTTATAAGGGTGTGGAAACCTCTCTCTAGACACATTTTGGGTAACTCTAAATAGGACAATATTTGCAAGTGTTGGAGTTTGGACCGTTACATTTCATGAATTCTTGTGTAACAATTCCTTTTACCAGAGTACATCACTTCGGTGAATTGAAATGGAGTCTCTAATAGTTCTCTAAACTATATTAGATTTATTTTTACTATACATCTTCTTTCTTTTACTTCTTTCAAATTAAAGAACATGCATACTCATTAGTAGCACACTGGTCTCTTTTGGCATATGCCAACTAGAAAGCTGACCTTCAAGCACCACCAGGAGAGGTTCTTTGTCCCAACTCCATTCCAGCCATGGTGTCATAGAGAGGCTTATTCACCGTCTCCGGCAAGAAAAACACCAAACTCCCACCCACCAACCCACATACTGCAAACACCCCAAAGGCTAAACCACCTCCCAAAACCACCACAAACGGTGCTAAAACCGCCCCCATTTGAATCGCCAAGGTGGCGCAGCCCATCGCCGTGTTTCTCACCGCCGTCGGAAACAGCTCTTCCAAGTACAAAAACAGAAAATTATAGTTCCCAGCCATCCCAAATATCCCCATAATCCCACACACCATCCTCGCCACCTTCCACTTTCCATGGCTTCTCAGCAAGCTCCCAATGAGGCAGAATCCTCCAGTGAACCAGAGTGTCCCTACTCCTATCCCTTTCCTCCCAAGCCTCCCTAACAGAGCTGCAGTTATGGTGTATGCTGGAATCTCCGCAACTGCATTGAGGAGGACGCTGAGGTAGAGATTCGTCTTCAGGTTGACGACGTTTAAGCTCAAACCGTAATATGCAATTGCTCCTACAAAGCTTATAGACATTGCTAACAGCAGACGTATTCTCGTGATCGGCGAGCGAATTAAGACAACGAAGCTACCCTTTTCTTCGCGTTTGAGCCCCGAACCCCTATCATCTTTGTTGAATGCTTCTTGATCAAGTAGAAGGATTACTCCTTCAGGAAGGTGTTTACCATTGCATATGGCTATGGACTTCATCACCTTCATCGCCTCATCGAGCTTCCCGCGAACTAGATACCATCTTGGAGATTCAAATACAAAGGGAAGGACGGCAACAAGGAAGAGGAGAGAGGGGATTGAGGAAACTATGTACAGTTCACGCCATGGTCGAAAAGTATAGGCCATCCCTGATAGTATGGCGATCCCACCAGCAAAAAAGTAGAACGACGACATTCCAGCCACCCCGCGTTTCGTCGGGCCAATGGGTTCGGTGGCAAGTACGAAGGTGCTTACAGAATTCCCACCGCTGCTGATTCCGGTCAAGAAGCGGAGGAGGACGTAGGTCCAGTAGTAAGGAGATGCTGCTGTTAATAAGCCAAATGTGGCGTTTAATGAGGAAACTAAAGCAAGTGTGCGTTTTCTTCCCAAGGCAGAGTTTGAGAGGTAGCCGAAGATAGCAGAGCCTAATGATATTACAATGAATACATTAAACTATGCATTTAGTCTTCATGATCCTAATTTTAATACAGGAACTCAAGAGACTAACCCATCATGCAGCCAAGAAAGAACATAGCCTGAGCCAACCCAACCTTATACTTATCACCACAGATCAAACCCCATTGAGCCACCGTCGAGCTCCGGCGACCTTCGACCCATTCCCACGATCCCAGCTTCAACTCACAAACGCTCTTCCCGGCTCTGTCACAGGCAACTCCTTCGACACACCGCCATTGGGGCTCATGGTCGGCGAAGATGACCACCATGATGTGTAGAGCTTCTAAGGTCCAACTCAAATTGACCAACATGAAGTTCTTCAACTGCCATGGTCCAAACTCCCCACAATACTTCTGCAGCATGTCGTCGACAGTCAGCCTCTCCTTTGGCAACTCAACAGCAGGTTCGGTCGATGGCGGTGGCTGTTGCTCTTGGAGCTCAACGTGAGCTGATGTCAATGTCGACATCCTTAACATCAAAGGGTGGCAAAGGAGGTAGCTGTTAGCAATGGGAGTTGGTGAGTATTGAATATGGGAAACGGTAGAGAAAATTGAAAGATGGCAATGGGAGTTTATGAGTTGTTGGCATTACAAAGCTTCAAACAGGCAGCTGCCAATAATGCCAACATTATATTTATTTCTTCTTGGATTTTCCTTGCATAATCTTTTTACATAATGTATTTTCATATTTTAATATTCTTTTTTTTTTTTTTTTTTGGAATTTTAATGATACAACTTATTATTTTAAATCTTAAATTTTAATTGATTAGTGACGTCATAGGCTTTAGTCTAACACTATCTCTATACCCTCGCCAACTTAAATACATGTATGATCGTGGCCAATTATATACAAGAGTCTTAACAAACTTGTAAGCATCTTGTCTAATTGAACAACTCCAAACTATACCGGCTATGGTATTTGTGTGCCTCAGTCCTATAGGATAAACCTCCTTAGAAGTTAGTTGGCAACTCTCTAGTGATGCTAGACTTACATGAACACAATACTTCATGAAAAGCGTTTTTAATCACTAACTATGGTGTCTATGTGTTTCATTCTTGTAAGACCAAACACCGCTCCACCCGTGAGATCCAAGTTTTTCTCCGAGAAATGGGAAGAAATTACTATAGATACAACATTATTCTAAAAAAATAATTTTTAAATGAAAAGGGCCACTCCATTTTTTGGGGCACTCTATATATCTTTCTTCTATTAAGTTATCTTTGATCAAAATTAAATTTACCTTAGGCTTCAGTTATTGGAGTTTCTATCCAGCCTCAAAATAGGTACATTATTCTACTAAATCAAAATAGAAACATTATTCTTCAAAATATCGATTACATTCATGGAGGTCGTCTATGTGTTTTTCTCCTGCTCTTCAAACCATGATTCCTAACGAGGAAATCACGCACAAGGTCGACGATATAATTTCGAGAAGAGTTCGGTGTCAATGGTAGTTTTTACTGACAAAATGGACAATTTTAGTTCAGCTGTCTGGTTGAATGTCCAGGCCTGTTCAATGGTTGATAGCAGCAGCTTCACCTGAGTACCACGTCAGAGCAGAGCCCGTCAACGAGCCCCTCCCCACCCCCCGATACCAGGTCGTATAGCTCAGTCATCGTTTATCTGCATTCTTGTACTCTCAATACCAGGCCGAGGCAGATATCAGGTTCCTGTTTTTCCATCCCAGCAGCATTGCTCCATCTTTTTCGACGAGAGTGTAATGCTCCGAATAGCACCTGAGCAGGCTCCTGATGACGGAGTTGACGTAAGAGCTCAAAGGGAACTGGCAGAACCCTGCCATTGTCAATCTTGTTTTCCACTTGCCGAAGAGCTCGTGGCGTTCTTCTCGTTCCCTCCCCTCGCAAGCGATGACATTAACGATATCTTTCGCCAAACAATGCTGCTCGATGTTGATACCCTTCTTGCTGTTCCTTGGTAGAGTGACATCAATGGACTCGAAGATTGCTAAGTAGTAATCTAAAGTTTCCACAAACCTGTTGAAGAAAGGGGTTGTGTTGGTGTTGGATTCTTGCTCTACCAAAGTTACTACCCTTGGGGACAATGACTTCACCATTCTCAGCAAACCGTCCCGTGGATTGTTTACGTCAACGCTTTCATCGGGGGTATGATGAAGCTGCAAGGGGAAGTTTACAGCCAGAGCCTCCCCGGGTCTGATATCAAGCATACCACGCGTGACGTCTGGAGCAAAAACGGGTAATCCATGAAACTCTACTGGTATTCCATACTTCCTCGAGACTTCAGCCAACCGCCTCTCAACGACCTCCAACCCCTCACCACGGGCATACTTAGAAACGGGGTCGTCGATACCAGTTATTCTCACATGGGGAGCACCACCGGGCCTTGCTGCGAGTGCCTGAAGAAGAGTTAACCACTGTGTACCCTGAGTAATCTGGAAGTCTATAATGTGGATGCGATCTTCGTTTCTGCAGGCTTCGGCAATCGCCCCGTTAGCTGCCATGTAACCGAACTTCAAGTAAGGGCAGATTTCATATAGCATATGCATGTAAGATAGCAAATCATCACTTGCAGGCTCTCTACAGTTTAGAGCACGGTATATATTCGCCCCCGACTCCTCTTTCCTTGCCACCAACCCTTCCACCATGTAAGCACCGAGACGCTGGATCGGTTCTCCGCTGATAGACACAGCACCTCTTGCTATGGCAACCAAGTTATCAAAATCCTCCATCCTGTTTTCAGCTAAAGCTCTTGCACACTCAATCAGCAACTCCTTCAAATTATCATATGGAGATCCTCCCTGCTGCAATATCGATTCATCCATCGATTTTTGGCGCTTCCCCAAGTGAACTGCTTGAGATCGCCGGCTTATCGACACCGGCAACGTCTGCGACTGTACAAGATTCGACTCACCCTGTCGATCTTGGCTCCATAAGTAGGACCTCTGCCCCATAATCTGTGGCCTGCAACTATCTCCAAACGAAGCATCAGGCTTACTCACAACTTCCTCATTATCCGGCCCCATAAGAACACTCTCCAATTGTTTCAACGTGAAGCTTATATTCTCGTTCGAGCATCCATTGTAAACAAACGCATTCAACCCCGGATCCAAATTCGACGACGACGCTATTTGATTAGTTTCAAACGACGAATTACAAGAAGGGCCAAGTCCAGAGAGATTCTCAGGGGAGTTCCTCTGATCTTGATTATCACTCACCGTAGTCTCCAGAAATGAATCCAATTCAAAATACGACGAAAAAAACGAAGAAGATGCCGGGGAATTTCTTACACTAAATTTCAAGGGTCCAAGCAAGGTATTAGGTAAGGATGGAACGGAGGAATAAGGAGTACAAGAAAAACCTGCACTATTGACTCCAAATCCAAACAGTTGACGAGAATCCATATTATGAACTTGGCATCACCTCTTCTACCAGAGAATTTAGCGACGTTTCTCAGTAAAAACAAACGAACAAAATTTGTTCAATCTCACACAAAAGAACAAAAATCAACCTGTGATCAAACAAACAAACAAGAATGGCATAAGCTCTTGGCTTGATTCAAACAAGATGCGACAAAACGAAACAAAAAAAATCAATTCCCGATCTCATAAACACTTCCAAAACCTCATGAATCAACAACAAAGAGGCAAGAAATGAGATCAGAACAGAGTATGAACAGGGGGATTCGATTCTTACCGGAGATTTAAGGATCAAAGTCCAAAAGATTGTGATTCTGATTGTGGATTTTTGGTGATGAATTGAGGGAAGAAGTTTTGAGAGATAACAGTAAAGAATCGAAGGGGATGATGCTTGAAAAAGGGAAGATGAAGGGGGGAGGGGTTTTATTGTTCTTATGGGATTTAACGGTAACGGCGGGAAGGTCGTTGTTGTACTGTGGGGTTTGACGGTGTTGGGAAAGAACTTGACGGCGTATAGCTTCGCCGACCACACGGTGGGGAAACGACGTAAGCTCTGGTTTTTTCTTGAATAATTTTGAAAGCCACGCGCTTTTTTGGAAAGTGGCTGACACTTTCCATGGCTACTTGTGAGTGAAAGGTTACACATTTTTATTTAAATATAATTATAAATACATATATTTATTTATTTTTGTTTAATTTCATTTTTTATATTTATTTATTCTTAAAAAATTTTAAAATAATTTTAACTATGGAAAAAGTAGTAAATATTAATTAAATAAATATTTTTTAAAATTAAAATTTTACTTTTATTAAAAATTAAATTAAAATAAAATATTCAAATAACTCAAACCAATTCAATTAAAAAATCTATAATTAGGTTGAGTTGAATTAATAATTTAATATCGTTTGTTTGAGTTGAAAAAATTTACAATCTTAACAATTGAGTTCGGTCTAAAAATGCCTCAATCCGACCCTACATAACCTACGAACACTTCACCAAAAAAAAACGATGAACGTTCTATTTTTCATATAGGTTTTATTTAAGCTTTTCATAAAATAAAACATTTTAAAGTCTTTTTAGTTATTTAAATGGTTCTTTCAATCCCATTCCCCCACCCTTAGGGCAGTGAGTGGGCTTCACGCGCAGAGAAGTGGCGGTGGGAGTTGGACGCCCCTTTCGTTTCACCGTTGAAATTCTGACACATAAATGGTACTAACGAGTCGAGCGCATTTTGGCGGGATTGGTGTCACGTGACATGCACGTGACACTATAAAATTTGAAATCCCTTTAAGGAGTTGGCGCCACGTGGAATATGGTTTGCCACGAAAGCAGTGACACCATCCAAATTAAAGAATTAAAAATCAACGGGGAAACGTGGAAGTCAAAATCGAGACCTTTGACCATTCCTTAGATAATGACGTGTCACGGTCTTCAATTATCATCAATCAAAGGTCATGAGAATAAGTCAAAGCATAATCATTTCACCTTTTCAACTATTTTCCACTCTCTTTTTTCTTTTTCCTTTTTTTCTCCAAATTAATAAAAATATATTTCAATTTAAATACTTTTCAAACTTTCAAAAATATCAATTATAGTTTTTAATTTTTTTAAAAAAATAAATACCATTAAAGTTTTAAAAATATATTTTGTTTCAAAAAATATTCTTGAATTTATAAAATAATAAAAGAAAAAAACATTTAAACCTTACAAAAATAAAATACACTTTTAAAAAATACTCTCCAACTTTTCAAAATAACATTAAAAACATTTGTTGTCGATAAACATTTTTATTCATATATTAACGTTAAAAAAATTTTAACATTTTTTTATAAAGGCAAAGGTGTTAATACTAACTTTAAAATTTTATAATTATTTTTTAAATATAGTACTTTGATATTTTTGAAATACTCTTAAAATTTTAAACCTATTTTTAAAATAAATTATTAATAATTTCCTCCAAAATTAAGTTAATAATATTTTTAAATTTTCTTTAATTTAAAGATATTGTTAAAAAATTATTAATTTAATTTTTGATTTTATGGAAATATGAATGATAACATTTTTATTAATGTAACATGCTTTTAATCTACAAGTTTAATGCTACATTCACGATTATACAAACCCAAATATTTAAATCAAATGAAAATCTATAAATAAGCTTCAAATTTAAATGGATTACAATTCTCGATATTAAAGTGTAGGTGGGTCATTAAAAAAAAAAAAAAATTATCTTTACAATTTGACTTCAAATTCAAGAATGTCGATGGCTGAATTTTAAATAGATTCGAGTTATAAGTTAAAATTTTTTTAAAAAAAATTTAAAAATTTAAAAACATTATCGAAATGAAATTTTAACATTTTTTTTTTTTTTTGTTTTTGAAAGATAAATGTTTATTTATTTATTTTTAACTCTTAAAAGTCATATTTTAATAATTTTTTCAACCATTTAGTATAATTCTAAATCTATTTGCTTAAAAATTTAAAATAAAACATCTTCCATGGGACTGAAATTAATATTTTGTATATAATATTTAAAGTATATATTATTTATAGAATATATCTTAAATATTATATCTTAATATTCTCTATTTATTAATTTAATTTATAGTATATTTTATTTTATTCTCAATATTTAATTAGTTTATAATTTTCTCGCTATTATCTATTAAATTCACCTTTTTTAACTCTCTCCCTTTTTAACCTTAAATTAAATTTGACAGTTACTAATTTTTTTTTCAAATAAATTAAAAATTTACGAACTTATGCACGATAATTTTTATACATGTTAAGAATGAAAAATAGACTCGAAGGTGTGTATTCTCATTAATATTAATATCCTTTAAATAGGATACAAGTTAGCAACTAATACCTACTCGAAAAATATAAATTAATTGAATATTAAAAATAAAATAAAATATACGATATTAACATATATATCTAAAATATATTTCATAATTAATATATTTTTCAAATATTATATCTCAACATTATAGTAATTTAAAAGTGGGTAAAAAACTGTTTTAAATAGTTTCAATTTTTTGTTAAGAAATTATTGGAGGTTGTTTCCAAAATAGTTTCGTCTAGTTTTCAAATAAATGTGTAAAATATGTTTCTATAAGAGAATTAATATAATCTAGATTATACTTCAATATATTTAATCTAGAGAGTCGAAGTTATATGGGAATCTACCTCAAATGGGATGAAGAATGCTAGGTAAGGCGTGAGATTTTGTAATGGCTCATGGTCACTGCTAACGGATATTGTCCACTTCAGCTCATAAAGAATCGTCATCAGCTTCGTGATTTTAAAACGCGTTTATTAGAGAGAGATTTCCATACTTTTGTAAGGAATGATTTGTTTCTCTCTCCAATGGATGTAAGATCTCACAATTCACTCTCCTTGGAGGTCTATTGTCTTTGTTAGCACGCCGCTCGTTGCCTGACTCTGATACCATTTGCAACAGCACATTATCACTGATAACAGATATTGTCCATTTTAACTCGTTATTTATTGTTGTTAGCCTCATGGTTTTAAAACGCATCTACTAGGATATTGAGAGATTTCATATCGGTTGGAGAGGGGAACGAAACATTACATATAAGGGTGTGAAAAAATCTTCCTAATAGACGCATTTTAAAACCGTGAGACTGAAGGTCAAAAGCGGACAATATCTACTAGTAGCGAGCTAGGACTGTTACATACTTTGTAGACGTGTGTGGATACTTCGTCGTAATATTAAAATTTAAGTTTGTACAAATTATGTTATATTTTTATTCATAAAATGTTATTAAATTTATTGTTTTGTTTTATCTCCTTCCATAAAAATTATATTGAAAAATAATCCATTTTAAATTATATTATATATATATATATTAAAAAAAATTAGTGTCAGATTCTCCAAATTCTCGAAAAAAAATTCATGTCTCAATCTTAATTCTTTTAAAAATAAACGAGAAATTTTGCATTGAAATTAAAGTTTGGGAACGAAGAAGTTTTCATCCTCATCATATAGACTTTTAAATCATTATATCTCAGAATACTTAGAATAGTTATTATCCTATAATTTTATTGATTGAAACCTTAATTAACAAGAAAATAATGAAATAAAATTAACCAAAAATTTGGGTTTTGTAAGATCAAGCTCGAAGAATAGAGATAGATAATCGAGATTGAAAAGTAATAGAGAACTCAACAAGAACCCGAATGAGTTGAGGAATTGGGTTTCGGGGCATGCTTATTACTTGTACCGTGCATGCCCCTTAGCTTAATCTAAAGATAACAATATCTGCTACCGGTGGGCTTGGACCGTTACAGCTGTACTACTTCCCTCACTCTGTGCATAAATATAAGTCTCATTACATTTCAAAGCACGTTTTAATGACCGACGACAACATACCATTCAAATATCAACCAGATATTAATGAAACATTTTTAAAAATATTTTTGAAACAAATTTAGATCAAATATGAAATTCATGTTATTTTATTTTTATTAATTTTGGAAAAAGAAAAAAAAAAAACATCTTATCACTACCAACTCAGTGCCACGTATCTAAGACAAAATTTAGAACAAATATGATCCAAAATATAATGGGTCAAAAATAAACACAAAATCCACGTGAGAAATGTGACGTCGGTGAAGAGGCCAAAAGAGAGGGTGTGGGTGTTCACATGTATTAATCCACGTGTTTCTTACACTATCCAATTCTGTAGACGTAAAATTGCCACGTCATCTCTCCGACAATGTTTCAACACAAACCACAAAACTTTATTTAATTAATTAATTTAATCAGAAAATTTTAATTTCTTTTTTTTATATATTATGAGTGGTTGGAGAACCCATTGTAAAAAAATTAATTATGAAATTAAAGAAAATTAAATAAATATATGCATTTATATAAATAAAAATGTATTTTTTAAAATTAACAATATATTCAGATTGTTTCGGTTCCACTCAAACCGTATGGGTTCAGTTAGATTAGGTTGATCGAATTTTCCACGTTATCGAGCTCCTCTACTTTTCCATTTAATTCTCAATTTTTTTTCATTTATGTTCATTCATCTATTTTCTTTTTCTTCGTTCTATTTATTTATTTATTTATTTATTAGTTAATGTGATGGATTTATCATAAATTTTATTTATTAGTTATTTTTTAATTCAAGTTTTATTTATTAGTTAATGGAATGGCTTCGGCCCATTTGGCCCATTGAGGCTTGGGCTTTTTACAAAAGCCCATTTTCTATTTAATTGCCAAGTTTGTAGATAAGGGTTTCTTGTATAACTAACTATTCATAAAAATTATTTTATTTTGGTTAAATATGTAACATATTTTTACATATAAATTTATTTATTTTTATTTTATATATAACATATTCTAAGTTTATTCACTCAACTACAAGTCTCATCGCTTTGCTTTGACTCTACAAGAGGCTTTATACCAATAGAGATAGTATTTTTTTATTATAAACCTATAATTCTTTTCTAAATTAGTCGATGTGGGACTTTCATCCAACACTTACGCCTTTATATTTTATTTATTTATTTATTTATTTTGGTTAAAATCCTTAAATTTTTATAAATATTTATTTGGATACTTTTGCTTAAAGCTTTGCAATGTGAATTTAATAAAAACGTTTAGCCATGCATTTTTTAATTTGAGCATTTAATATATAACACAAATTTTATTACATGACTTTTTATTTATTTATACACTATAAAATTTAAATAAAAAAATGCAAAATTTAAAAGAGGAGTAAAATATTAGAAAATATAGGGACTAAGAAATAAAAATTAGGATATTAAATAATTAGATTTTTATTTCACTTAAATTTTGTTTTTAATTACAATATTTGTCAAATCCAATCTATAATATATATATATATATATATATATATATTTTTTTTTTTTTAAAGTTAAATAAGAAGAGTTTTGTTGTATTTAAATAATTTAGTAAACATTAAACGTCATCTTTATAATGATTATATATTCAAATTATTTGTTTTCATATGAAGGTCTTCTCTATATTATAACGTGATTTGAATTAATAATTATAAATTTCTCTGGTTGTCTTAGAAAAATATTTTCAATCAAATATATCCATAGTTTTGTAAATAATAATAATAAAATGGCTATAATTTCGATAATCGATCGGAGTGCAATTTGTTGTAGTCTCGTTATTCTAAATTATAATATTTATTATTCTAAATTGCAACTAAAATAATAGTGATTCCCATGTGAAATTATATAAAGAAATTTGAGGTACGGATTTGATCGAGCCCATCAGTTTTCACTCGATCGATCGTGATTATTGAGTGAATGTGTTCATATAACTCAACGACTCGACCAATTCAGACTATTTAACTTAAATCATACTGATTGAGTTAGATTATTTATTTATTTGGGTTCGATTGAATTTTAGTAAATCGAAAATGTAGTTCGATTTATGGGTTGATATTTTTTGGTCGAGTAACCTAACTATGTGATATCCCATATTGGTAAGAGTGTGGAAATTTTTCACTAGCCGACGCATTTTAAAGCCTTGAGGGGAAACCTGAAAGGGAAAGCCCAAAGAGGACAATATCTGCTAGCGGTGGACCTGGGCTGTTACAAATGGTATCCGAGCCAAAACATCGGATTATGTGTTAGTGAGGAGGTTGTTCCCCGAATGGGGTAGACATGAGGCAGTGTGCTAGTAAGGATGCTGGCCCAAAAGGAGGTGGATTTGGTGGGGGGGCCCACATCTATTGGAGAAAGAAACGAGTGACAGTGAGGACACTACGACGCGTTTTAAAGCGTTGAGGGAAAGGTCAAAAGGAAAAGTCCAAAGAGGACAATATCTGGTAGCAGTGGACCTAACCATTATAAACTAACTCAAAAATAAGGATCCAACTTAACCTAACTCGGGGAGTAGACACGAGGCGGTGTGCCAGTAAGGACGCTAGGCCCCAAAAGGGATGGATTTAGTGAGGGCCCCACATCGATTGGAGAAAGGAACGAGTGTCAGCGAGGACTCTCGGATGAGTTTTAAAATCTTGAAGGGAAGCCCGAAAGAGAACCCAAATAGTACAAGCAGTGGACCTGAGCCTTTAAAAAAAAATAATTAAAAAAATAAACAAATGAAAAAATATATATATTTTTTAATAAATAAACAAAAACAATAAAAAAAAATCCCAACATTCCTGAATTTCTTGTTTTTTCTATCCGTTATCTGTTAGGATTTATTAATATATTAAATTGATCGTGGCCTCCATGAAGGGACCACCGCCGAGGCCTTTCTAGTTAGTTGTGACTTTAAATAATCCAACCAATTTATTATGTTATATAATTTTTTTCAATAATTCCATAACTTAATTAATTAATTAATTAATTCAGCTCCCTATTTTTCATTATTTCTACTCTATTTTCCTACTTCTATAAATTCATTAATTAAAATAAATAATTTAATTCATTAATATAAATGTCCAATCTCTATCATATAATAACTTAAATCTTTATAATTTATAAAATACATTTTAATATTGTACAATTGTATTACTAAATTATTATTTTGTGACGAAATTAATTTTGTACCTATACTTATTTAATTTATTTTAAACTATAGTGTTATAAATTAGGATGTAAACGGGTTGATTATGCTTCCAAACTAACACATTAATTCAAAATTTCGAAAATGACATTAAAACTAACCTATTTCATAAAACCCACCATTATTGCTCAAAAAAAATTATTTAAACATTTATTGATATTCATTGAACCAATTATTTTTTTAAATGGTTCTCGACCCATCTACATTTTCATACTGTTACGGATACAAAATTGAAAATAATGCTATCGTAAATTGGATTGACTATTGATTCGAGCCATGGCACGTTGTCGATGAATTTCATTTAATTAGTGGCTGAGAGTAAGAAAACTGCGTTCATTGAACGGATTTGTGGTTGAGTCAATAACGTTATGCTCTGGATTTCGCTGCATGCATTGTTTTCTGTGCATGTCCGTGTCATGAATAACGAATATTTGATGAAATTGTTTGTCTCGCTATGTTTTTAATTGTGCAAAATTGAAATTTAGATTTTGTTTAAGGTTTCAAAAATGTGTGTTTAGTCTCAAATATTTAAATATAATTTTTAATTGATTTCTATTTGGTCTCTAAATAATTATATATAAGTATTATGTCAACATGGTTATTATAGGTTCTGTCATTGTATTCACATGTTTTTGTATTTAACACTATATGTGGTCACTTATTGAGTATTTATTTAAATACTCAAGCCATGTACTACTACATTTTTCAGGTTAAGGCAATATATTATTGTACGGTTGACGACGACATTGCAACTCGAGACCATGACACATGCATAGGATAGTCGTATTTATTTTCTTAGATTAGTTTAAAATAGCTGGAGGTTATGTTTTATGAAAGTTAAATGAAGTATTTCCGCATTTAATGTTTATGATACGTAAACAGTAACAACTTTAAATTAACTAGAAAATTTCGGGTTAATTATCAACTCTACTTACAAATAAAATTAGATTTTAATTTTAAATTTTAATATCAATTAAAAATGGTTAAATCTTAGACCGAATAGGAATATAGTGTTAATGAACCCAACCCAACTCGCCTATAAACTTTTTGAGTTGGGTCATTTATTCCATTTTTTTGTTTTAATAAAAGTAATCTCACTAAAAATATGTGTTTATTTATTTTTCAAAATATATATAGTAAAAAAATTAATTTTTAAATGGATAAAAGAAATTATTTTTAAGAATATATATATATAGTAAAAATAATTAATTTCTAAATGGATAAAAGAAATTATTTTTAAGAATGGTTTGAGAATAAATAATAAAATAATAATTATAAGATTAAATATAAATATATTTTTCTATAATTGTATATTTTTAAATTTAACGATTTAATTCAATATAGTTTTAGGGAAATTGATTGTGAGATCCCACATTGGTTGGAGAGGGAAAGAAATATTCCCTATAAGATGTGGAAACCTCATCACAACAGACATGTTTTAAAATTGTAAGGTTGACGGCGATACGTAACGGGCTAAAATGGACAATACCTATTAGTGGTGGGCTTGACCTGTTACAAGTGATATTAGAGCCAGATACGAGGTGGTGTGCTAGCGAGGACGCTGGGTCCCAAGGGAATTCATTGTGAGATTCCATATTGGTTGGAGAAGAGAACGAAACAAAACTCCCCTTTCGGTGGGAATAGATTGTGAGATTTGCTAGTGGTGGATTTGGATCATTATAGGAACGAAGCATTCCTCAATACGTAATAAGTCAAAGGGGATAATATCTGCTTGAGTTGTACACCCACGAGCGTACCCAGTCTATCCAACCAAGATATATTTGACTCGAGAAAGCATAATTTTTTGCCTGAATCTCGATCCTTAAAGGTAATGTAAATATATATGAGATTAGGTGTGTTTGGTGGACAATTCATCAAAATTTCCAAACCCATTAACTACCAAAATCAACAACCACTTCACTTTCCCTAACCCCTTCTTAGTAAGTGTTACCATTACTTAATTTTCTCATAATCTTAATTAGCATCATTGTCTAATTTTTTATTTTATTTATTTATTTTTATAGGATATTCATATTTTCACCAACTCCACAAAGGGTTTCCATAGAAAACAATGTTTGACAACTTAACCTATTTATTTTACCTAATAAAACACTTAGTCATCCACTTATAATAATTGTTTAAAAGAAATTAACAAATATTCGATAAAATAATTAGCATTTTAATTCAAATATTCAACCAAAATATCCTTGATGTTTGCGTGTTATACAGACAGTAATATTTTATTTTTGAAATTAAAAAAAAAAAAAAGCTGAAGAAATAAATTAGTAACTGAAAAAACAAAAATAACTGTAAGAATATATATATATTTTAAAATTTAAAGGGTTTTTTTTTTTATTTATTTTTATTAATTTAGAATTATATTAGATAAATTATGGAATTATAATGGAAAGTCAAGAGCATTAAGGCGTGTGCAGTGGTGGAGGGTATAGTTGTTGAAAGAAGCTCAAAACCCGATGCCAATTGTGGAGTCGAGTCCCTTCGGTCCTTATCAGTTTCATTTCCTTCGCAATAATAAGAACAGCAAAAGAACACCCAAAATCCAAACCATTTTTGTTAATTCCATCCCTTTTTCCACATTCTAATATACTTCAACTTCAACTTCAACTTCCCCACATAAAAAAGTAGACGACAGATCGTATTTCGCGACTCTGGGAGTTACTTCACAACCATTTTCGTCTCTTTTTCCTGCCTCCGATTCCTTTCTCTCACTTGTTTTCTTCGAATCTCACACCATTTCCCCTTGTTTTTCTCTCTTATCTTCTTTTTTCTTCTTTGCGACGCTTCCCATCTCTTTGAATTTCCCATTTCGATGAAATCAGTTCGATTCGAAGGTATTTTCTTACTTGTAATGTCAATTCTGTTGATACCCAGTTTGTATTTTCTGAATGGATGAGGAAGATTCTCGTTTCTGCTTTGTTTACTATTGATCTGTTTTCTGGGTTTGGTTTGTTCTTGTTCTGAATGATTTGTTTGGGATATGGGTGATTTAGTATAGAAATCTGTGACCCATTTGGCTGGATTTTGTGTTTTTTGCTTGTTCTTTGTGCTGATTTTTAGGAAATTGATGGTTTGAACTTCAGATGTTGATTGTTATGCTTGAGAATTTCGTGAAAATAAGATGCACATCAAGTGTTTGATCAATTGTCAAAGAAGATGGTTTGAATCTGAGTGATATTATGATAGTTCATGCTTTTGGAGAAGAAATGAACTGTTGTTCTTCTTTCCCAGAAGATGAATTGTTCTTTCTACAGTGAGTTTTCTCTCTTATGAGTCTTCTTTTTGCAGGGCTGTAATGGATTAAGCTATTGGATTGACAATTGGGAAGCAAAAAGGAGGAGATGAAAGGGGAGTCATCTGGGTTGATTATTGGGATTTCAATAGGAGTTGTGATTGGTGTGCTTTTGGCGATTTTGGCTCTCTTTTGCTTTCGGTATCAGCGGAAACGTTCACAGATAGGAAATAGCAGTTCCCGGAGGGCGACGACGATTCCTATCCGGGTCAATGGTGCTGATTCGTGCACTATACTATCAGACTCAACCTTAGCTCCAGAGTCTCCTGTTAAATCTGGCCATAATGGCATGTCTCACTGGCTTGATGGATTGAGGAAAAGTAATGTTGTAGCAGCTTCTGGGATACTTGAGTATTCTTACAGGTGTGTTATCGAAACTTCGTCATGACATGTTTGGTGAACGATCTTTTTTTATCTCGTTATCGTGTAGGATAAAGAGTGGCTTGTAGGATCTTAGAGTGTTTTGTTTAATTCTTGGATATGGTAGGGATCTGCAAAAAGCTACATCCAATTTCACGACTGTAATAGGACAAGGAGCGTTCGGTCCTGTTTATAGAGCTCAAATGGCTAGTGGTGAAACGGTTGCGGTTAAGGTGCTTGCAACTGATTCCAAACAAGGGGAGAAGGAGTTCCAAACAGAGGTGATCATTATTCTTTTCAAATGTTATTGACTAAAACCATTGAGTTCAGCAGCTTATTTATTCTGATTCATGAGACATATCTTCTTCTTGATGCTTTTTATATATCTGATCCATCCATTTAACGTTATTCTGTTTACTAGGTTATACTACTCGGAAGGTTGCATCATAGGAACCTCGTAAATTTGGTTGGATACTGTGCCGAAAAAAACCAACACATACTTGTATACGTATATATGAGCAAAGGAAGCTTGGCTTCTCACTTATACGGTAAGAAATCGAACATATCGTACAAGCACTAGTTAACTTATTGCAGAATGTGTCAAACATAGTAGTCAATAAAGGTCGTGTAAATAGTAAAGGGCATAAAGAGAATGCTATTGTGGCCACCTTCCTAAGATTTAATACCTACGAGTTGCCTTGACAACCAAATGTAGTAGAGTTAATGTAACACCCCAAGCCTCACCACTAGCAGATATTGTCTTCGTTGGATTTTCCCTTATGGGCTTCCCCCCAAGGTTTTTAAAACGTGTCTGCTAAGGAGAGGTTTCCACACCTTTATAAGGAATGCTTCATTCCCCTCTCCAACCGATGTGGGATCTCACAGTTAAAACGGTTAACCCGTGAGATTTGACGAAGTGTGCAGAAGCTAGTCTGGATACTCGCAAATAAAAAGAAGAAGAAGCAAACATAGAGTTTTGTAACATCTTTCTTGAATGGGCACGTCTCCTTTGTGAAGGAACATCTTCTTTTGGTTAAAATGATGATACAGTGTACTTCATCTGTTTCTTGGAAACTGACACACACTGTTATTTGCAGGGGGGAAGAACGAACCACTGAGCTGGGAACTGCGGGTTCGTGTGGCATTAGATGTTGCACGGGGACTGGAATATCTCCATGATGGTGTAAGCTAAGATATATCCTTGATGGACACTGGGATTACTAGCTTCTTCAACCTTATAATTCATTCATGTGGTTTTTTGTGACATTACTGCAGGCAGTTCCACCAGTAATACACCGTGATATCAAGTCTGCAAATATTTTGTTGGATGATTCCATGAGAGCTAGGGTATGTTTTCCCCTTTAATTTGTGAAAACTGTATGCAGAAAGAGTCCATTGTAAGAACATCTCATCGATATTTGTTTGTTTGTTTGTCTGCTTATTCTTGATCAAGCCAGGTTGCCGATTTCGGGCTTTCTAGAGAAGAGATGGTCGATAAACATGTATCCAATATTCGTGGAACTTTTGGGTACCTAGATCCTGAATATATATCTACAAGAAAATTCACTAAGAAAAGCGACGTTTACAGCTTTGGAGTATTGCTGTTCGAGCTTATAGCTGGCAGAAACCCGCAGCAAGGCCTTATGGAGTATGTTGAACTTGTAAGTTCTCTGTCTTCTCATCTGTCGTCACCGGTACTTTCAACCAACAAAAAAAAGTTATTTTACGACTCTGTTCTTGTGGAAACTTTTTATAAAACAAGAGGCTGGTTTAGACTCCAAGTTAAGGCCATAATTACAGTAACTTTTCGAGTTCTTTTCTAAGTACGCTCATGTACTTTCACGATCCCCAACTTATATGTATTTTCATTGTGAGATGTTTAGGCAGCCATGACTTCAGATGGGAAAGTTGGGTGGGAAGAAATCATGGACGACCGTTTAGATGGAAACTTTAATATACAAGAGCTGAATGAAGTTGCAGCTCTAGCATATAGGTGTGTCAACCGTAGCCCCCGAAAACGACCTACCATGAGAGACACCGTACAAGTGATCTCACGTATTATTAACCTGAGGCTCGAGCACAAGCACCATAGAAAATCTCTGTCAGCCACGACAGATGAAGTAACTGTCGATATCGACCACGTCTCCGAGCACTTTAGAAAGGATTCAATGGACAGTGCTTCTGATACCAATGAACTTTAGGCCATAGCTTCCCTTTTTGGTGGTTTTTCTCTTGATTGTTTGTCTTGTAGTTCATATTCTCTTTGATCTTGTGTATGATAGTTGATTCTTTCACTCTTTTAATGACTGAAATTTTGTACATTACTGAATATAGAAAACTTTGTAAAGTTTCTTCACTGTAATGACCCACAATTGTTACAAGAACTCTCCTTGAGTAGTTTGTGAATGAAAATATCGAAATATTATTACGACCTTACTTGAACAGGAAATGTTCTTAGGTTGTACAACTGTGTCGTTCCGTTCTAGGAAAACGACAAATATTGTTTCTTTTTGTCCCTTTCCTGTGAGCTGCAGGTAGTTCTTAGAGAAACAATTCATCTTCTTCTCTAGTGTTCTTGTCCACAAAAACCTACCTTCGCCATTAATGATTAATGTGGACTTTGCTGAGAGTGAGCGACAATCACGGCAACGACTGAGAGAGTTTCAGTTCAGTTAAGAACAACAACCTCTGTGAAACTGATTATAGGTGTTGGACAATAAATGAATCTTTAGCAGACATTTCCTAGCTGCAATCACACCTAGTTCTTGTAGTATCTTGTTCTGGTGACTAACTAGCTTGATCTTCTTCTCGATCTCTTTGGTTTTGTTAGCTTATATGACTCTACTGATATGAGATCGAGTTAACAGGGAGATACTCACATCGACAGTAGGAAAAATGTCGAAAAGTCGGTTTCGTAAGTGTAAAGAAAGTCCTCGTCCCTTGAGTAACAGGGAACTTTCTTTGTCGTCTATGAAATCGACATCGCTACGAGTCAGCCAAAAGTTTCAAATTTTGAATTCGGGTTCATCTACTCTCAAACCAACCCCACTCAAACATTTAAGACTCATTGAATTCCTACTGTCTAAGAAATCTATCCTCTTTTTTCTCCTAAATGTGCAGCAATGGAGCTTTAAAAGCTGTACTGTCCTGATGCATCAGTAAAAGTAAATGCTCTGTTCTGATACAAACTCAACACCAAATGATAAACCAAAGAGAAAAACAAGTTTCTTTCTGTTCATGGTTTGAAAATTACAACAAAACAAGGAAGCAAAGCTCTATGATTAAGCAAATAAAGCTCTTGAATGTTGGAATGTAATCCCACTTTCCCAGCCAAAGAATCAAACCCTGTTTGCCCAACAATATCTTGTATGTTCTCCAATGGCCTATGAACTCTCCCAGCTATCACTCTACAGATTATCAATGCTTTCTTCACCGAGCTTTCGTTCTCCGTTTCAATGGTTTCGAAAGCTTTTCCGCTCGTTGAAGTCGTAAAAACTCCTACTTCTTTCATATCCTTCTTTTCTGAGAAACCATTCCTTATGATTCTGCAGACATTGCATTTCTGTGATATGCAGAGGCTGGTGGAGCCATTTAGTCCAAGAGAGCAAGCTAAAGTCGTCCCGAAAAACCTCAATAGCTCGTTCCCATCGACGAGGCATCGAGGGTGTTTCTTTGAGAGCTTGCTTGCTTTGATCTTCACTGTTTCTCTGTATTCTTCAAATCCAGCTAATGTTTTCTGCATATTGTGAACTTTGAAAACTCGTTCGATTCGGTTTCCATTGTTCTCCGACTTTGAAAAGTTCGTTTGACATATCATTTCGACGATTTTCCTCGATGAATCACCCTCCACAAGCTCAGTAACTGAGAAAAAAGAATGAAACAAGCAACTCCATAAAGGCTTGAACTCAAAACAAGAATAGCCATTTTCATGAACCAATTAAAACATTGAATGAACTATGTGTAAGAACATCTATCTAACCAGCATGCTTGGAGAGATGGTGAGACTCAGCAGCCTCCAATTTGCAGAACTGTTCTCCACATTTATGGCAAGTAACTGCCGAGAACGTGTTATCGCTCGACTTGGTTAGCGGCGAGAACCTTCTGCTTGTATGAACTTCCCTACCCCCCTTAAATTTTGTAGTACTCCCAGCTGGAGAGGCATCCATATAAGATAAAGGAGAAGGAAGCTTTCTTGCAGAAGTCATGGAGTTGGAGTTGATAGCAAAGTTCTCCCCCGGACCGGGAGTTCCGGGCCTATGAGTACCAAAAAACGGCAAATCTCCGCCCCCACCTCCTCCAAAGCCAGAATTTCCCACACCCTCTAAGTGGAAGCCACCAAAACCAGTGATCTTGAGCTCACACTTGGAGTTGCTGAGTATCACTTCATGAGCAATCGGGTTGAGAAACTCGCTGCTACCGATCGATCTCGGGCTACAAATCGGTGGATTTTCCATGTGTCTCTTGCTTCCATGGATGACATCTTTAAGATTTGCTATGGACCTTGAACAACCTGATCTTCCAGAAGAACACCCTGACTTATTGGCTGCTTTCTTGGTTGTGATTGTGTTGAGTTGTTTCCTGCTCTTTGGATCATAGACTTCTGATGGCTCTGGTTTGCAGGGGAAGGACTTTTTCAAAGAAAACCAAACTGTTGGCATTTTTCTTAACTTCAAAAACTTTCATATCATTACATTATCCGTCCCCATTTCACGCTCCTCCGCGTCTCAAAGTCCAACCGCTATGCTCTCGAGGCAGCAGTTTCAGACCAAAACATGTCGAGAAGACGATGACGACGACGGAGGAAACAGAGCAGCTCTGGTAGAGAATAGAGAGAGATGAAGAGGAAAACAGATATATATATATATATATAGAAAACAAAGACTTTTTTGATTGTGTTAAGTTGTTGAAGAAAGATGCTCTGTTTGTTAGGAGGATGAGTGAATTCAAGCATCAGCTCTGTCCGGTGATAATGAGGAAGCAAAACACTATTGTATTGTGTTCATTCATGGGTTTGGGTTGGGCTTGTTAACCGAACACAACTCTCCACCGACGTGGGACTTTCATCCACCAACACTTCCTTTTCTTTTAGAATCCTTTGTTCGACATTTGAGGATTCTATTGGCATGACTAAGTTTAAGACATGACTCTAATACCATGTTAAATGAACACGACTCTCCACAATGGTACGATATTGTTCACTTTGAGTATAAGTTCTCGTAGCTTTGTTTTGGGTTTCTCCAAAAGACCTCATACAAATAGAGATAGTATTATTCGATTATAAACCCATAATCATTCTCTAAATTAGCCGATGTGGAATTTTCATCCACCAACGGGACTTTTAGCGGTCGGGATGGTCCATATTGATATTTTTTTTCTTCTAAAAATTCATAGATATGTGTTTTTTAAAAAATTAATTAGAAAAATAAATATATATATTTGATATTTTCAGCTAATTTTGTCTAAAAAATATTCTTAAATTTTCAAAAAAAAAAAAAAAAAATACTTTTACCCCTTACTAATTCGTTTAAAAAATAGTGTTAAAATAAGTTTTTTATTTTATTTTATTTTAAAAATAAAGTTCGGTGGTATTTTTTTTAGTTTTGAAAGAAGTTTGATATTAAAGAAATTTTCGAAATATTTTTTAAAATTTAAGGATATTTTTTAAATAAAGTAATAAAAGTGTATTTATTTTAATTTTTTTTTACTGTTAAACGGGAAACGAGATAGGAAGTGAGAAGATATTTTTTTTCCCACTAAATGGGGACGGGGACAGGGACCGGGATGGAGAAGGCTTTCCTAACCTCATCCCACCCGATGGACATCTATAAAAGCCAATAAGAATATTATTCAACACTGATTAACATTTTTAATTTTTTTTATGAGGTCAAAGATTCAAAATTCGATCTCGAGATTCCACCTAAACAACAGCAATCAAAGGGTCAAATAGATGGATCTCATTCGTTATGTGTAGGATCCAGTTCCCAACTATTGTGGGTTAGTGATATTGAGATATCGGTAAGGTCACATTGCTTCGAACAAGACTGAAACTGACCCCACTTTCATTGAGCAGCAGCTATCTTGCCTGATACTTTTTCTTCAATGCGACTCGAAGGTCTCATCCACTCGTCCTTCCCAATTCATAAATTTTCATAATCCACGTTATTTCTAAGCATGTACGTTCTCACAATTTATTTGAAATAATTTTTTCAAATCTTTTAAAGAAAATATTTGAATTTCTAGCTAATTTATATTAATATTAAATGACTAAATATCATGTCACATAAATTTGCTAATTCTAATTGAAAGGGATTAAAATATAAGAAATTAAATTTAAAAACTAAAATTTTAAAAATTCACTAAATAAAGGAAACTACAAATAATCACATATTTTCACGATTTAATTTAATTTTAAAAGTTCAAATTTCGTAAATAATTTTTAACGATTGAAAAATTCTCATAAATAAATAATTTAACAAATTATATGAATTAATTAGGACTGAATTATAATTTTTAAATTTGTAATTAAATTTTTTTAATTAATTATTCCGCAGAAAAAAGGAAAAAAAAAAATGGAGGGACCATCCCGCCAATTCACTCAAGACGCTGACGTAACCCATTCAATCGCGCCATCTAGTACGAAAATCGAATCCTAAATCAGATCTGGACCGTGCCATCACTCATCCATCCAACGGCCAAAATTCTCGATCCGCGTACTCAGCTTTTATTGGCTCATATTGCAAGACTCATCTCACTATATATACCAAATACTGTCCATCATCCTTCGTGTTTATTTATCGTTCTCTCTCTCGCGCACTCGCCGGGAAATCGCCTCCAATTTTCTCTGCTTAGGTTTTCTGTCTTTTCCGTCCAACCGATCTCATTCAATGGCCGGCAGAGGAAAAACCCTTGGATCTGGGGCCGCCAAGAAGGCTACCTCGAGGAGTAGTAAAGCTGGGTTGCAGTTTCCCGTCGGTCGTATTGCTCGTTTCCTCAAAGCCGGCAAGTACGCCGAGCGTGTTGGTGCTGGTGCCCCTGTCTACCTCGCCGCCGTCCTTGAATACCTTGCCGCTGAGGTACGTGAATTAATTGGAAGTTATTTTCAATTTGATGTGGGGTTTTCTGGATTGGCTTCTCCTCGTGGATCTAGGGTTTCGAAATTTTCCCCAATTGGCTTCCTCTTTCTCAAATGCCCCCTAACCTTTTGAGAATTTTGATTGATTTAGTTATTTTTGCGATTAACTCGAGGGGTTTCTGATTTTTAGGTTTTGGAACTCGCTGGAAACGCTGCAAGGGATAACAAGAAGACGCGTATTGTTCCTCGTCATATTCAGCTTGCTGTACGTAACGATGAGGAGTTGAGCAAGCTGTTGGGGGATGTGACTATTGCTAATGGTGGTGTTATGCCCAACATTCACAATTTGCTTCTGCCCAAGAAAACAGGAACTTCATCAAAGAACGCCGGTGGTGATGATGAACCCTAGATTTGTTTGTAATAGAAAAGGGAATGGAACTGAATCATTGAATGTTGATGACATGTGGCTCTGGTCAAGATAGTGCTCTTCTTACTTTGTTAGATTTTTCAATTTTCGTTTCTCTTTTTTCGACATCTATTATTTTCCTTAGGTTAAAGATCTTTTGCTTATGGAATTTGTAATAGTCCCAAGGAGTAGTGCTAGAATTTCACCTAGTGTTGTGAATATCATCATCATCATCATCTATTAATATCACCGCCTACTTTTTCTTCATCCTGTAGATGACGCATTTTTATTCTGGGTTTTCATAACTTCGGTTTTGTGAATTATCCCTTAAGAATGAGTTGAAATTTGAATTAAGCCAAGCTTTCTCCCTTTCTGTTTTGTTTAGTGTTGGTGAAATATTTTGCTGCTGTTCTAGTTCGCAGGTTCTTTTAGGTGGTTGTTTCTCTGATATTAGGGATATGGGTCACTTGGTTCTTGCTTCAATAACTCAAGTAGATTGCGTGTGCCGACTTGTTATGGTAATTTTTTATGAGTTGTGGTTTGTGATGTGCCATTTTTGATGTTTTGAACTTTGAATAATGTCTTTAGACAGCCACTTCTAGAATATGGTTGTTTGGGAAATCTAGAATGGTATCATTATATTAGGAAGGAGAGGAAATATGAATTTATGGAGTATATATGAATTGCTTTGCTCTATTTAGAGAAAAAGATGTTTGTTTTCATGTATATATATGTTCCTAGGGCTAAGTTTTGGAAGAGTGCAATTTTAATGATGTTAGGCTTAAATGGTAAGTGTATTGGGATTCTCCTGAAATACTGGATTTCAATGTTTTATTTTTTCTAATAATTTTTGTTCATTGAATGGAAGTATTATAGGAGATTCAAATTATAGGGTCAAATTATAGGGTGTATGTATGTGTTATTTCTGGTGAGTTAGAATTTGTATCATATGATGCAGACAAATATTTGCTGGCTCATGGCCACGTTATCTTATGCTATCTAGCAACAATAATGTATGTATTGTGAGATCTTATATCGGTTGGGGATGGAAATGAAAAATGGGGATGGAAATGAAAAATTCTTTATAAGAATGTGGAAACTTCTACTTTGTAGACGAATTTTAAAAACCTCTTACATCAGTTGGGGATGGAAATGAAACATTCTTTATAAGAATGTGGAAACTTCTACTTTGTAGACGAATTTTAAAAACCACTTACATCGGTTGGGGATGGAAATGAAACCTTTATAAGAATGTGGAAACTTCTCCCTTGGAAACTTCTCCCTTGTAGACGTATTTTAAAAATCTTGAGGAAAAGCTCAAAGAGGACAACTGCTGCTAGCGATGAGAGCTTGAGTTGTTACATGTATTATGATTAAAGGTTTAGGGTTTAGGGTTGTTACATCATGTAAAGGTGAGTTGCTCCATCTTCACATGTTTGTTGAACAAAGAAAAAGGAAGATTGACAAGTTTATTGAAGATAATATATTTGAGTCCCATATGAAAATATAAAATTGTGAAGAAAAACATATGGAGAAGGCTTGCAAACATGAGGGATTACCTCCTACTACTGCCTCTAAGAAGAGTTTTTGAGGCCAAAAGATAAGTTTAGTTCAAATAACAAGTGGAGAAGCCTTCTTTAATGTTGAGATTTTGGGGAGTTGACAACAAAAAAGAAGAGAGACATTTAACTGATAGTCTGATACTCTGGTAACACAATCTACATCTACAAACTCTATGTTGTTGAATGCTCCAACTGCCAAAAACGTCAAAACTAAGTTCTTTTTACAAATGAATGAAGGGTGAGTGAAAAATAAAAGTCAAAGTCTAAGTCTAAGTGCATTCTGAGCCCATTGTGGCAATTCATGGAGCTTCTTCTTCTTACTGCTACATATCTTGCCTATGACCAAAAGGAGCCTAACAATTATGAAGGCTGGGCTCCTTTTCAGCTGATTAACCTATGGACTCTCCTCGTCTGAACTTGAGTCACTGATCCTACGATCAGTAATTGCTGGGAAGATCAGTTGATTCAGATCGGCAGAAGGCGCGTGTCGTAGATCAGGGGGACGAACAGGGGGAAGAGCAGTGGGAACTGGAGGTGAAGGGGGAGGAGGAGCAGAGGGAACTGGAGTTGAAGGGGGAGGAGGAGCAGAGGGAGCTGGAGTTGAAGGGGGAGGCGGAGCAGAGGGAACTGGAGTTGAAGGGGGAGGAGGAGCAGAAGGAGCAGAGGGAGCTGGAGTTGAAGGGGGAGGCGGAGCAGAGGGAACTGGAGTTGAAGGGGGAGGAGCAGAAGGAGCAGAAGGAGCAGAGGGAGCAGAGGGAGCTGGAGTTGAAGGGAGAGGAGGAGCAGAGGAAACTGGAGTTGAAGGGGGAAGATCAGCAGGAGGTACGGGGGGGCGATCAGAGGGAAGATCAGAGGGAACTGGTGTTGAAGGGGGAAGATCAGTGGGAGAAACGGGGGGATGATCAGCGGGAAGATCAGAGGGAGCTGGAGTTGAAGGGGGAAGATCAGCGGGAGGAACAGGAGGAAGATCAGCAGGAGGAACAGGGGGAACTGGAGTTGAAGGGGGGTGATTGCTATCAGAAGATACTGCCTGTTTGTGTACCTTCACCTGCTTCTTCTGTGCATCCTTTATTTCTCGACATGTTTTATCTATCATTACCAAGAAATCTCGCACTATTACGAACAACCGTAAGCCCTCGTCCTTCCCTGCATTTCCATGGAAGTAGTCACCTGTGCTTTTCACCATTTCCATGATTTTTTTTTCTTCTGCCAAGAGGGCCATGATAGCAACCTCAGCATTCTGCAAAAAGCTTTTCAGGGTTTCGTGAAACTGACTCTCCTCACCTAAACCCTGCATATCTTTGTTCAGAAAGTCTCTTGATTTTAAGAGTGCATGCCCAAGTTTGGAAACAGTTCCAGTTAAGGCATCAGCATCTATGGTTGCTGCTTTCTTCACATTCTGAAGTTCACCACTTAACCCTGAGACGACCTCAAGACCAAGGGTACGGTAATGCTCTTCCACATCGTCAGGTGTTTCATCCAGCAGATCATTTGATGTGGTGCTCGAGAAGCTATGGCTTCCTGTGGCGTTCCTCGCAGCTCTTATCCCTTCTGTACGAATTATCTCCTGGACTACAAAGTGCAATAGCGTAGTCTTGCCATCTTTTCCTTTCACATCTGACAATTTTAAAAGAGTGTCCAATTTGAATGCTTGTGCACCACCTCGAAAAGTTCCATCGTTCATCCGGTTTCCCGTCTTAAGAACAGCTTCTAGAAGTTTGAGGAACAGCCTGCTGCTCCGAAGTTCCTTGCAAGCAATCTAAGATGAATCCACAATTAGTCAGGAGGAAGTTCCGAGATGGAGGGAAATCAAACTTGTTTAATGCAACAGAACTTTCATTTCATAATGTATCTGTATTTCTACATCATATTTAGACAAATTTGAGAGTATGAATATACGAAATAAGATGAACAAAGATTCTAACTTTGTAGTTGGAGAACATCCATCGTGTGCATCAATCATTTTCCAGCAGAGCTAAACAAATCGAACATAGTAAGCCGAAATTCATTCTACAGCTTGTAGATGGATAAAAGACTTTGGGGGCAGAGACAAGTAAATGGAATAGGTTCAATGACAAGTGTAAATCTAAGTTATATACTGTGCTCATCATGCCCACTTTGCATGATGTCCTTGTTGAAATTGAATTACTCCCTATTCAACTGCTTTCTTAATTGCTCAGACTTACAAACTCCGTGAATAGCTTCATTAGAATACTACTTATCAGAAAACACCTGGCTATCATGGCAACAAGACTCAGTTACCTATCAGTCGCTCAAATTTTCATGCAGAACTAACTAGCGGCTTTAGAATTGTTCATATTGAGCTAACCAAGATGTTGGAGAGTTCTAAGTACTAAAAGGTAATAGGGTGGCAAGTGTTCTACCTCCAAGTTAACAAAGGACTCCTTAGTGATGTTGATGTCCTCCTGGAGAGTGCCCATGAAAAGCAGCGATTCCAACCTTTTGAAAGCAAATGGGATATCAACCAAACTTTTAAGGAAACGCTCGGCATTTCCAAGTTGAGTAAGTTCCCCACTAAACAGTCTAAGCTTGAGTTCTTCTTCTGGTGTTGGTGCCATCCTCAGTAAGTTTTCAAGAAGTTCGGCAGGAAGTTCACCTCCTGATCCAACCAAGAGAGGTCAGAATATGCTCAAGATCATATCATGAAAATGTAAAATGGGCAGAAATGGCTGCTGAAAAAAGGCAGAAAAACATATCTATACATCATGTAAATTACAGGGACACGTTTTTGTTCAATAACAATGACACTAACAGTAATGATCTCTCCGTTTAGAGAAATGTTCAATTACCTTATTTAGAATGATGATACACCCATGCCGTATGAAAACATATATTTTTGGTTACCTTTTAACAAGAGTGTCAACTAGAATTCTTATTTGGGAAAAGAAATATCGATTAGAATCATTGTTAAGAAAAATTTGGCAGAAACGGATGCAAACAAATGTTAACAACTACTTCTCCATATTTACATCAGAGATTTACCAGGGAATAATGACCTTCCATCACCCAGAAAAGAGCAAATATAGCTGATTGCAAATAAAGACACGTTTTATATGGAAAGGGAAATGCATAATTTCATTCATTGTTCAATGTATAGGCTCCCTAGAACAATCCCTCATTCACAATTTGCTCAACAAAGATGGGGGAAAGGGGAAAAATATATTTGGGCGTAAGCAAGTAGACATCAGCAATTTCAGAAGTACCATTCTATTAATCTGAGCCTGCGCTCAAAAGGATAAATTCCGAGTTCTTATACTTAATGCCACACAATGGTTGTGAAAGTAAGATCTTCTGAAGCAAAACCATACTTGCATGTTTCCAGCATTGTCATGCAAATTAATGTTCATTCTAAATTATGTTACTTGGACTTTCTATCACGAGGAAATTAACATGTTACGCCAATGAAATAGATGATTTTGAGTGTTGTATTGGATATTTAGCAAATTGAGAGTTTGATCATTCTCCAAACCATTTAGCAAATTGATTCTCAACCTATGTCTAGGAGTATTGTCTTAGATATGCCTGCTTTCTTGTCTTTTTTTAATCATTCAACGAGCTAGAAAATGAAAGGTTGCTACCATTTATAGGTTTAACATGCTCTCTAGAGCCCATTTCCGGGAACCATGTTCTTTGGATCTCAACCAGCCTATCTCCTGAAGTTTTTGGGTGTGGAGCAACTTCCCTCAGCTACTTTATTAGAAAAGATCACGTTTCTTAACATCTATTGTAAATTAACATCCCATAGGAGTATCAGGCATATTGCTTCTAGTTCAACCAAATTCTTCACTTTTGGGACAGAATCAAATGTTAAAGAGAATGAAGTGCATGCCTCCATTCAGGCGTTCCTCTTTATGTCTTCTTAAGAAGATGCAAGAAAGTCAGTATCAGGTAAGATTACCTTCATGAAGCGCATCACAAACTTCTTCTTTTGTCACATTTAGTGCCCGCAAAAGAATGGACAAATTTTGTGCTTTCTTTGAATCAATGATCTGAATGAACTGGTGCGCAGGATCTTGTGATGATGCCTCCTTCTTTCCCTCACTTTTGTTTCTATCAACTGGTGTATATCCAAAAAGAGTTTCTATCATCTCCTCGTTGAATCTGTATTATTTAGATTACATGTTTTCAGCAACTAATAATATAATTTAAAGCAATGGTGATATAAAAGGAGTGGAACTAATAACATACTGGAAAGATCCTGCTTTTATCTGATGCCAGACCATGGAATCATCAGGGTTTGCAAGAACTTTGTCCCAGAAAAATGGTTTCAATTTGGCTTTGGGAACACCCGATTCGTCCATACCTTCATCATCACGTCCAAAAGGTCTTGGAGGTCGAGGTGGATTTACACCTTTGGGTGCTCCTGGAGGTGGTGGTCGAGGTGGACCACTACCACCACCACCTTTAGGAGGTGGTGGTGGGGGAGGGCCTGCTTTGTTGCCTGGTCCAGATGCTGGAGGTAGAGGGGGTCCAGGAGGGCGACCTGAATTTCCAGGAGGTCCTGGTGGTGGAGCACCAGGTGCAGGAGGTGGAGGAGGAGGAGAACTACTCATGCTGGATGGTGACTTAAAGGACGAAGGGGGCTCAGGAGGAAGGGGAGCAGCAGCCCTGCCAGGAGGCAGGGGAACAGTCTTGCCAGGAGGCAGGGGAACAGTCTTGCCAGGAGGCAGGGGAACAGTCCTGCCAGGAGGCAGGGGAATCGCCCTGCCAGGAGGGGGCTTCAGAGGTGGTATAATCTCTGAGTTGACTGGCACTGCTCCAGGAGGAAGTGGCACCAAGCCAGTAGTACCATCAGCCATATAAGTTGATTCAAAAGATGCGTTATTGGCAATTCCAGCATCTCCAAAAGCTGGATGTCCCTGCATTGAGGTATGTGCACCATCGGAGACAATGTGCAGGTTACCATCCAAAGATGGAGCTCTCTGGTGGTGATTCAAGTTAGATGCTTGATTGATGAGCACGTCTTCCTTAATAGAATTCCCAAAGGCAGAATACTTGGGCGAAGAACCTGAAAGGTCATGATTTATATCAACATTAAGAAAACACCAAAAAAATAAAAATAAAAATAAAATCCATAACATGCTTGTGAGAACACAGAATAAGAGTACTCACTTAAGCTCAAGCTTAGGAGAGGCCTTTCATGATTTTCATCATTTTGCTTCATTCTGGAAACACTCTTATTATAGCATAAAAAGAGCAAAGCTACAATAATAAAAGTCACTGTTGCTGTTATGACAACAGCTAAAATAACTGTTTGCTGATGATTAGATTTCTTTTCCTTTTGTCCACCTGTGCTAGAAGCTTTTCTTACAGGAGTTTCATCTCCTGAAGATTGACTTGAATTTCCAGAATCTGGTGGAAAAAATGGTTTTCTTTTATGACGGGGGGGAGATACAGGATCTGAAGATTCAGGTGCCAGAGCGGGCTCTTCTTCAGCACTTCGAAGCCATCTAGAACTTAACTTCCTTCTAAAACTACCAGGCATAAAAAGCAATGACTCCAGATATCGGGTGTACCAAGCTTCAGAATTATAGTCTCTCCCGGAGACATGAAAATTCTTTCTTACACAATCTAAAAGAGCCTGCTTCATCTGGGGATGCATGGAACTTAGCATTCTGTTTGTTTTTTCTTTTGCAAGCGTCCGGCATTCGAAATTAATTCCATCTGTGCTTCTCGGTTTTTCTTCAGAGCACGAATCAGTACCAACTACATCTTCATTCAACTGAAAGAAATCCAAGTTGCACTTCACCAATAACAGCTCAGCCTGCAGCAAGTTTTTTAATTTAAAATAAGTTAACTTAAGAATAATATGCCATATGTGCAGATCTTAGGCCTAAAAAATCAGCCTAGAGCAGAAGCCACATAGTTATAGGAACAAACGAAAGGTCAAGATAGATATTTATCAAGAATAGAAGTTGAGAATTCTAAAACATATGTCTGATTGCTAACAGCTCTTTTATGTTGTAATCTACTCGTTTAAAAACGTTCGTAAGATTCTAACCAAAATTTTTAATAACAATGAAAGTGGAAAGCTGTTTGGAAGCTATTTTAGAAAAAAGAAAAACATTGTTTATGTTCTCAAAAATGTTTTAAGCTCTTGAGTAGTTAGTAAGGGTTAAGGTAAAGGTTATTAAACTGTAACAGCTCAAGCCCACCGCTAGTAAATATTATCCGTTTTGGCCGGTTACGTAGTGCCGTCAGTCTCACGGTTTTAAAACGCGTCTACTAGGGAAAGGTTTCCACACCCTTAAAAGGAATGCTTCGTTCCCCTGTTCCCCTCTCCAATTAACGGGGAATCTCACATAAACAGTTAGAAATACAACTAATCTATGAATTAATTAAAAAAAAAAAACGTGTTTTCAATAAGTTCTTATTTTCAAAAGAGCTATAAGCAGCCTATAGTTCTTCAAAAATTCTTTCTCAGAGGAAAAATGGGGCTAGGATTTCAAACAAAACAAGAATATTATCTATACAACTCTTGCTTTTTAAACATACAAAGAGAGAAACAAATTTGTAATTGAGCGTATAAATGCATAAGTTTTTATCACATTGCGCTCTCATCTCTGTTCATTGTTCCAAATTCTTTCCTCCATTAACAGGCCTTATTATAAATTCAGCACAAACATGTTCAAGAACTTAAGAACAGTTGTGTCCAAAACCAAACATAAGAGAAGCAATCAATCGGTCTAAATATCATTCTAGAGTTGCAAAGATCAAAGAATTCAAGCAAAACTAGCTTTGAATCTAACGAGAACAGTTAAGGAACAAGGTTTAAGATAAATGAAGCTGAATAAGATCATATCATAAACATAATTGCTTACCATCTCTATATTGACATCCCCAGTAATTGGGTCAGCTAGTTGGCTCAGAATCAGTTCCTCTTCCTCATGGTCCTTAAAGCAAGTTGCTAAAGAAGCACATATGAGAATCACAAAAACAACCAAACATCTCCTTTTTGCAATACCCATAAGTCGTTGAAATGTCATTATAACAGCATAATATCCTCACGGTTCCATCTTTCCCCAACCACAAGTGAAAAAAACCATCCAAAACCAAGGTTCTTCAGAAACACGATGCCTCAAAATCCCGCAGCAAACCGAACAATAATTTCAGATAAAAATCGCAAAAAATAGCTGGAAGACGATCAATCTTAACGATTCAAACAAAAGGGGAAAAAAGCTCAGAAAAGAAACAATCAGATAACGAAGCTAAGGAAATTCCAATTGTAAACCAAAATAATTGAGAAAAAGAGAGCGATAAAACCCCTTTTGAAAAGACGAAATGGAAATCAAAAGAGGGCAGAGTGGAAAGGCCGCCAATGGGTCTCCGATTCAGACCAGATCCACCAAAAGAAGGTCGAGGAATTCGCCGACGTTAGAAACATTTGACTAAATAATAATGCGTTGGAAAGAAGGCGTGATTCCGTTGTTGGAGAGGATTTTTGGAGAAAGCTGCTGCAGGAAGAAAGAGAATCATAATGAAATCAGACCACTTTCAATGGCGGTATATTGATTATTCCAGTCGTTTTCTCCTAAAACTCTCTCCACCTAAATCCGTGGAGAATTGAAATCAGACATTTCCATTCTAACCTGAAAATTTTCCAACCTAATTCTTTTGCGATCCAATCTACGACTTTATTTGAAATCTTTACACTTTCTTTTTTAACACCTTACAACCCTATAATCTATACTATCTCCCAAAAACTTCATATCCTTGTATCAAAAAATTCAAAAACACTTTTTAACCTTCCAAAATTTCACTCCTACCCAACAAAATTTTTAAATATTTTAAATTTTTTTATTGTCAATATATACACGAAACTGTATATCTATACTTCATAGATCGTATTCAAGGATATCGACGTTAAAAAATATGTTAAACCTTTTTTTTCCGTTCATAGATAAAATTATTTTTAAACTTTATAAAAAAACTTTTGATAGTTCAAAGACAATTTGTCTGTGGGTTTTTTTATTTTTTTTATTTTTTTATTATGGTATCTTATTAATTTAGTTTATTTTTTTCTTTTTTGTGGTTTGTTTTAATAATGGATTTTAGCTAATGTGTCCATAACTGCTTACTCTATAAAGTTAAATTATTTTCTATTAAATTTTTAATCATATAATTTTGTTATTAAAAATATTTAAATTTATAAGATGTCAATATTAAAAATTATCAAACTAATTTTTTTATAATATAATGTTTAACAAGTTGATGATAACATAAATGAGGAATTATTTCACCAATTCGTGTAACAAATTTTGTCAATTAATTATAAATAATATACATTTATCATCAGCTAATTTTAATAGTCAATAATAAGGTTATATAATTAAATCCAATATTTTAAAATAATAGAAATTAAAAGACTAAATCATGTATTTAACGTAACCGGTCCAAGTAAATATTTTCAAATTAGCGAAAACAAACAAAAAAAATAATAATTATATAATAAAAAAAAAACCATAACAAATGGTATTTACTCGATTACATATATTTTTTAGAGAGCGACAACCTGTTTCAAATATAAATCTATCTCGGTTAGAGGAAAGATTTTACATCAATCATAGATGGAAACCATTTATCTACACCTTATTTTATCTCCTTTTATTTTCGGTCTTTCATCAAGTTTATTAAATTGTTTGCATCAAAGTCAATGTCAAATCCTATGGTATAAAAATCTTGGTAATATTTTATCATAAGGTTTTCTCTAGGGAATTATTATTTCGATATTAATCATAAATTCAATTTTATATGATTAGATAAATACCATATCTTTTACTTCATAAATATGAATAAATTATTGTTTGAAAAATAAATAGTTTATTATATTTAATTTAAAATATGACCTGATTCTCAAATGGGGATGTAGCTCAGATGGTAGAGCGCTCGCTTAGCATGCGAGAGGTACGGGGATCGATACCCCGCATCTCCAATTTTTGCTTCATTTATTTTTATTGTGTTTTCAGAACTGGGATTTGGGCTTCAGTTTAGGGCTTGGGTCGGATCCAATTTGTGTCGTCTTCGGCCCAATAAATATGGAATCATATATATGTTAATTATCTCATATTATATATATAAATAAAATTAATTAAATATATAAATAATATATCCCAAAAAAAGGCATTTTTGGGATCTTAGTGCCTAGTCATCATACAAGTAATTATTAATCTAATAATCGTTAATTAATCATGACCTTGTAACTAATAAGGATGATGGTGTTTATAATTACCCATTAAATTATTTAATTTTAGAAATTCTTTTATTTTTTTTCCTCTCAATTTTGTTGTAATTATTGTTTTTTTTAATAATAATAAAAAAAAAACTCATTATTGGTGCCATGTCTGGAAACATGTATAAAAGGAAGACCATCAACTACGAGTGCTATGAACGAAATCAACCAAAGGAGCATGCACACGTGTCTTTGTTGACAAAAGCCTTAAATAAGTAGCGTCTCGATGCCCTCGAGAGTGGTGAGCCGTTATCCATATGGTTTTCCTTACTTGATTCGATGCAGTTCTAGCCTCTCAACGCTTTAACCTTGAGTTAGGTTCAACTAATTATAATTTTATCGTGGTTAAAAAAATTATAAATTTATTGAAAAATCCTTGATTAGATGGGTAAAAGAGTGGATCAAGGTAAAACAATGCACATTATGCTTAGCTTGTGGTAATTTAAAGCAATTAAAGGTGTAGTTGACGACAAAAGAAAATTCCATACATTAGTGTCGATTGATTCAATCTTATATGTTTGTTTTATTGTTTCAAAAATTTTGGGTTTTTGTTAGTTTTGTTTTGTTCGTTTTTTGTCCAAACACGTAACACGTTGAGGTGTTCAATTGGCCTGCAAGGACGATATTCATATCAGTGTGGTGCTATTCCCAACACGTTTTAACGGTTAGTAACCATTTATACTCAAGTGATGTCCAGCTAGACTAGGGTAGTATTGCACACATCGATAGCAGAATGAGTCTCGATATTCATAGAATTATTCAATTTTTTACTTGATCTGAAAGCTTGAAAATGTACTATTGAATTCATTGTTTGACACTAGTCGTGATGTAAACTAATCTCGATCTAAAACTTTATATTAGGGGAGTACACGAGTTGGGTTGAAAAAATTTCTGGTTGGTTGGATAGATAATCTAAACAACCCGAATGAAGTCCACAACCCAACCTAACCTAACTCTCTATTTTCAGGGTGGGTTGGATTGTCGAGTTGTTTTTTTTAATTATTTAAAAAAATTCCCTTTACCCACAGTTACATTAATAACTAAAATTTCATAAAATTCAAATATCAATCAAACTCATCACTAACATAAAATACAAACGTTAAAAAACACTAACCCACAAATCGAATCGAATTTTTCGGCTTTTAAAAATTCAATCCAACCCAAGTCGAGAAAAATCTAACACAACCTAACCATTATGATTTGGGTTGGGTAGACTGAATTGCTCGGGTTATCGAGTCACATGAACACTCCCTCTTCATATGGTCGGTAACTCAAAGATATATTTAATAATTTGAAGAGAGAGAATGTAATTCATAGGGTAAAGAAGAAGCCTCCAAAAAGAGACCAAAGAATGAATTGAGATATCAACAACTTCTTCCACACCATTACTACAAGACAGAAAATAAAAAATAAAAAAAATAAAAAATAAAAAAAGTAATAAAATTCTTGTCCTCCAATGGACGCAAAGAAAAGTAATTATTTATTAAATAAATACAAAAATTAATATAATTATAAACCCATTAGTGGCAGGCTTTTCTGTTAGATCTCAACAACAGAGACAAAAATTAATCATAATAATATATTTATATCATAATTATAATTTTCTTAAATTTTTATTTAATCTATTAATATATTTTTAGGTGACATTTTGTTTTCACTTAACAACCCTTTTTTATTTTTTTCATTTATTAATTAAAATGAGAAAATACTCATATATATATTACTTTTAATATTTTAATAAAAAATTTAAAATTTCATAATATTTTTTTTTTTTTATAGTTATTTAGGCTCGTTAGAGGCAGTTTCTACTGTTCAAGGTTTAATTGCACTCGTCACAACAGTTTAACTCGTTTATACGGTGAGAGTTATGTTTATAGAGCTTATTTGTTTATACTTAACGATAAAAGCTTTTTTTTTAAGCTTATAAGTTAGTGTATTATTTATTACTAGTCACATGCTTCCCATCTTGTTCCCCAAAAACCTGATTTCAAAAAATTTGAGTGTCCTCCTCCATTGATAAGAGTGAAAGAAGGAGGCCAGGAATCCGTGCTTTTCTCTACCAAACAAGAACAACCCATTAAAATCTCTGCTCAAAACTCCAATTCCTTGGTTCTAGATACGTTTTTTTTAACCAATTTACACTCAAATCTCTACTCACCAGAACCCCATTGCCCATTTCTGTACACAATCTTCATACCCTTTTCTTTTCTCTCTCTCAGAGCTCATCAATCTTTCCTGCTCGTTCAAGCAAGCGGCTGCAGTGCACACAAATAATCGTTAGCTTTAAATGCAATTTATGGCCCCACAACTATATGCTTGATTCATTTTTTGCCTATCTTCCTTCTTCAAATATTGTGTTGTTCTTCTGTTTCTGTTGGCTTCATTCCCTCTCCTCATGTCTTAGATTCTTCCATTTTCAAGATTTGAGTGATTTAACTCTTCTGGGTCTCTAGTTTTTGGGGTTTTTTGTTTTGTTTTGTTTTTTTCACCCCCTTTTGGATTTGGTTTATGATCCATCATTCAGGGTGTTGGTGATGAACTGGGTGTTATAGATTGTGGGGTGAGTAACTAGAGGCCATAATGGTTGGACCTGCTATTAATGTAAGGACCCGTTTGTCCTTCTCCGACGTTAACGGCGGAGAGGAGCTTTGTCTTACCAGTGCTCCGACGAGCATTGCCGGCTCTGAGTGCGGTGGCATTGAGTTCACTAAAGAGGACGTTGAGGCTTTGTTGAATGAGAAGCTTAAAAGGAAGGATAGGTTTAATCTAAAGGTCAGTCCCTCCTTTTCAGCGGTTAAGGTAATTCAGAGATGAACACCATTTTTTTCTTTTGCTTTTTTCTTTTTTTGCATTATCAGATAGTTAGAATGTTAGATCAGTTAAAAGGGTTGATGGAATTTGAGAAAATGTTTGTGGGGATTGCATTTTGATGAGACCATTTTGTTGGGTTTTCAGGAAAAATGTGATAACATGGTGGAATACATTAAAAGGCTTAAACTCTGCATCAAATGGTTCCAAGAGCTTGAATATAGCTACTTATTAGAGCAGAGGAAGCTACAAGATGAGCTAGAAACCTCTGAGATCAAGTCCAGTGAAATGGGTATCTCCAAGATCTTATGTTCTTGGTATTTGATATCATTTCCAACCCATTTTTCATTTATATCGACTTTCTTTTGTGATTATTAGAGATGATAGTGAAGAACAAGGAAGAGGAATTGAATTCTATCATTGTAGAACTCAGAAAGAACAATGCATTCTTGCGAGAGAAATTCACACAAGAAGAATCCGAGAAGTTGGTAAGCTTTTAATCGAGATGTCGTGTATGAACGATGAAATAAATGGGAGTTTGGTTTGTTGACTTAAGATTTGAGTATCATTGTCAGGCTGCAGTAGAGTCTCTCAC